TGAAGAGTTCTTCAGAACTGAAAAGCTTGCACTGTGCTTCATTCTTTTTCAGCATGTTTGAGACACCTTTTAGCTGCACCATGCTTTATGTGTGTGTTTTAATGCTCTGGCTGGGTTTTAATAACTTTTATGATGCTTTCTGTTTTTGTAGTGTTTCATTCAGGCATGGGGGGGGAGAGTTTTTGCACATATTTTGTCTTTACATTTTTCTCTGACACAGCTCCTCTTACCTTTGGAGGTGGCCACAGTAGCCAGGGAGCGTATATGAGTCTCCCTCTGCTCCATCACTGGCTTCCCCATGATCTCCAAGTGGGTGTCTGTCTGATCCTAGCCTGCAGATGCCTCTTTCCAGGACACCTTGCAGTTTTCTCCTTCCAGAAAGATAGGGTGCCCAGCCATAGAGCAAGTCATGGCTAGTTTGGCACGACAAAGACAGAAGGCGCCTTAAGTGGGAAAGCAAGCGATCAGGAAAGGAATGGCTGCCCCCAGACATGTTGGGGAAAGTTGAGAGGAGAGACAGGAGCAAACGAAGCACTGCATGGTGCCTCCTCCTCCTCCTTTTACTCTGGCGGGTGAAAGCAGCGGTGGCAGCTCTTCGGTGTCGGCCACCGGGTGGGAGGAGATGGGGAGGGAAGCTGAGCCTGGCGCAGGCACGCTGGAGGGCCCAGCCGGGAAAGGGTGATGCACAATGCCTGGGGCAGGCGCCGAAGTGGTTGTTAGCAACAGCTGCGAGATAGGCAGTGAGGGGCAAGTGCAAGAGGTAAAGGAAGCATTTTTTAAAAAAGAGCGAGGTGGCGAGGCAGCGACATCAAGGAGTAAGACGGCGAAAATTAAAGGCAACACGCTCGCTGGTGGGAGGCAAGAGGGGAGGGACAGAAGAAGGAAGCGACCGAGCAACAGCGGCCCTCGCCATTTGAAGAAGTGGAGGGGCAGCCAACTGTGCCTGGTCTGCAAATCGGGGGAGGGCTCATAAAAGCAGGCATTCCCCGGGGGGGAGGGGGGGGCTGGCACTGACTCCCGGAGCAGCGCTCCCCTGCGCTCCTGCTTCAAATGACCCCTGGCTTCTAGCGTTCCTGTAAGCAGGGGTCATTTCCTGCGGGAGCGCAGAGGACCGGAGCTCCGGCAGTAAGAAGCCGGGGGGGGGGGCACATGCAACCTGCCCCGCCCCCTGCTCCCAGCAGCCCTCAGTTGGGTCATGAGGAGCAAGAAGCAACCAGGTAAGTTGCAGAGCCCCCCTCCCCCTGGCCCGTCTTCAGGTAGAAGCTCTCCCTCCTCTGTGAGGACAGATCTGCACGTCCCCCCCCAGTAGCTAGGAATCCAAAACAGTCCAGTGGAGCCTGAGCGGTGGGTGTGGCCTTCTGACACACTTCCGGTGATGCCAGGGGGTGTGGCATATGCAAATAAGTTATGTTAATGAGTTATGCTAATGAGCTCCTGCACCTCTTTTTCTACGAAACGACCCCTGCCTGTAAGGATGATCCCCTCCTACTCTTGACCCCCTCCCATTATTGTGTGTGTGTGCCTATTTTTCTCCCTTTCCACAGAATGTCCAGAACAGAATTGTTCAGGAAGGAATAGGATTGGGGTATGTCTTGTGCTGTTTTTATTGCAGTGCTCTCCGATCCGGTAACCCTGTTGTGCTGCATTGCTGGTTGTGTGTATTAAACTGATCTTGGTGCTTTGCTCTCTGATTTTGTCTGCCTTCTGAGGATATATTATATGGCTTGGGTTGCATCTTTTCCTGACTGCAAAATCTTGCCTCGTTTCCAACGGCAAGCTGTCAGTCACGCAAAGGAAAGACATTTTCCTTTCAGAGTCGGCTTCCCTGAAAGGATATCGGGTTGGAGCAGCCTTGGTTCTCCAGAAGCAGGCCGTCAGAGTGATGGAGGCTGCTGCTCTCTGTCTGAGAAGGTACCTGACTCCTCCAGCTCTCTAGTGAGGGAAATGTCCGTCCAAACACAAAGCCCAGTCTTAGGCGAGAAGAACTCCATCCCAGAACCAGGAAACTACCCTGCACATTTCTCTGGAGCACAGGTGGTTGGATCTGCCCACAATGATGGGTCAGAAGATCCAGCCCACTTCAGCTGATGGGAGTGGGCTTGCCAGGGGCAGTGGAAGTGCTTTGGGTCTCTCTTTCTCCTCTTTGATTTAGGCACATTTCACTCCTCCAACCCCTCCTTTCCCTTTGTTTGCAGAAACGTTTGAAGCTGAGGGGGCTTTAGTTCTCCCATGTTTTTCTGAAGCAACATTCCTCCCCTCCCCCCCCAACAAAAGCAGAGAAGGGCAATATAAATCTTTTCCCTCTCCCCATTTTCCCACTGAAAACCACCATCCTCAGCCATAAGTTGGGGGAAAAGGTACAACTGATCTCATCTAAATGTTCTGTTTCAATTTATTGCAAGCCCACTTAGAGCCTCTGGGAGGAGATTCAAAATTCAAAACATAATCAGTCAGCCCCTGTTACAACAGTTGGGTCTGCTCTGCACTCTTTACAACCTCTAAGGCTGTTGTCACACGAGTGGTTTGCACCGATATTGTTGAGGTATCTTGGCTGATTTAAAGAGCATGATCAGACAGCAACATCTGCCTTCTGTGCCCCAGTTGTCACCACCCCATTCTGCCCTGCCTTGGAAGTGGAGTAATCAGGCACTGGGGAAAGTCTGGTGTTTATGGATATCAGTGTTTTTACCCTGCATTTCCGGATGTCTGAACTCCCCTGGTGTGAGCTCAACCTGGCTGGGACGTCTGATCCCTCTGTTCCGTTTTTGCTTCTTGGGTTTGTTTTTTTTAGTCAGCGATGTGCGCATAACCCCTTCTTGCGATGATTTATACTGGTTCAAATAGAGGCGCCACCAGATCGCACCAGGCCTCCAGCGTGACTGCAGCCTAAGTGCCATTCGACAGGTGGCAATGGGAGAGCTATGAGGGATGGAGTCAGCTGTGTGAGCAGAGGACAGTTCAGGTCCATAAATATGTAGATGGATCTGGCTGGAGGCTGAAGAGAAATGGTTACTGTGGCAGAACGGGCCTGCGTCAGCTGGCAGGTCCCGCTCTGCCCACCCTCCTTTGCCTGACCTGGCACCTGAAGGGGCAGTTTTTCACCACTGCCTCCGGGTATTGCTGCCACCACTGTCCCTGTCTTGGGCTCTGGTTAGGCGGGACAGCCTCCTAACCTCCCTCTGATGTCGCTAGGAACCCACCTCGGGGCTTCCTGGCAATCTTTGGGGCTCCCCTGGAGAGTTGGCAACTGGCCATTTTGCCCTTGTTCTCCTCAGCAGAGCGTCCCCAACCCACTCCTAGCGTGTCCAAGCGGCTGGGTAAACTACGCGGTGCAGAGGGACTTCTCAATGTCAACAGTAAAAGGATTTATTTTGAAACCACTCAACTATATACAGGCATATTAACAGTGAACTGAAGAATCAAAATAAAGGTGACTAATAAATCGCTCCCTCTCTCCCTTCTCTACACATACCCTGTCTAGATGGTCTGCAGGGCAGGCACATGACTTGCTTTCACTGGAGGAGGTTAGATTAGCACCACTCCTCCTGCAGACTCCAGCCGACAGCCTGACTGGCTCCAGACTTCAGGCAGACCGACCTCAATTCTCACAGACTGCTTCCCGCCCAAAAGCTCCACTCTATCAAACAGCCCTTCCCGCCCAGGAAGTGCCTCTCCCTCCTGCAGCATTCTGGGGCAGATCTCCTCACCACCTTGATGGACCTCCTGTCTTCTCGAGGGAGTTGCCCTCAGACTACTGGTTGGAGACTACTGTGGGTTGGAGACGGGGGGGGGGGAATGAGGAGGAGACTAGGCCAAGGCCTACCTCAGGTTTGATGGTCCCCTCCTATCTGGCTCACACCAACTTAAACATATACATAAAATGGCGTTTCTCCACAGTTACAAGCCGACATCTCAGCTAGAGAGTCACAGCTAGGCACGCGGGAACCCACCCACATCTCGATTGCATCTCTTCCTTTTAGGAGGGTCAGACAATATGAAAACTCTGGACCCAGAGAAGCGGCTTTCTTCACACTGGTTCTCTCCTACCCATTTAGCATGAGGGACTAAGTCATGGACTTGAGCACATATTGCTGAACAATGGGCAGGGACCCTCAACAGGTTTTTTGATATTCCTGGAGATTTAGGGTTTTAGCCTCAGAATGGCGGGGTTTACGGAGGGAAGGGATCACGGTGGGGTATAACACTGCCACAGAGTCCGTCCTCCAAAGCAGCCGTTTATTTCAGGGGGACACAGCTCTCTGTCTTCTGGAGATCAGTTGTCATTCCAGGAGATCTACGGGCCCTACCTGGAGGTTGGCAATCCTAACCCCCAACCAAGAAATAGCTACCTGTTCTGATTTGAAGTGCCTTCAGGTATTCACTAGGACAGGGTTAGAGGATGGCTGTTATCACCTTTACTTTGATCTTACTCTGTGTGCTGTGTAAACAGACCACATACGTCTTTTGATGACCTTATTAAGCTTCTTTATAAGCAATGTTATTCCCAGTACTAGTGTATGGCTGTGAGAGTTGGACCATAAGGAAGGCCGAGCGCCGAAGAATAGATGCTTTTGAATGATGGTGCTGGAGAAGAGAGTCCCTTGGACTGCAAGGAGATCAAATCAGTCAGTCCTAAAAGAAATCAACCCTGACTGTTCCCTGGAAGGCCAGATAATGAAACTGAAGCTCAAATACTTTGGCCACCCAATGAGAAGGGAGCACTCCCTGGAGAAGACCCTGATGCTGGGGAAGACTGAAGGTCAAAGAAGATGGGGACGGCAAAGGATGAGATCGTTAGACAGTGTCATAGATGCAATGAACATAAAATTAAGCAAACTCTGGAGGACGGCTGGAGACAGGAGGGCCTGGCTTGGTGTGGTCCACGGGGTCGCAAAGAGTCGGACTTCACTGTGCGACTGAACAACAACAACAAAACCCCACCACTTTCCCTTGCAGCTGCTGCCTGGCTAGCATTCCTTGCTTTGTGTTACCTTTCTGTCGGTTGGTCTCAAGATGAACTCTGGGGGCAAGCGGTGTTGTATTCAGCAAGGGCAGACTCATCTGGTAAGGGAGAGGAAAAGACAGGGTAGCACTGTAAATCAGACGTTGCTCGGATCCAGCCACAGCACAGCATGGGCAGGCCTGCAGCTGTGGGGCCCACAGGGCCCACAGGGCCCGCCCCCCTTGTTTCTACGGGCCCCTCCCCCGATCCTCAGCTCCCCCTCCCTCCTTCCGGCCCCTTCACCCCCTGGTCGATCTGAGCTGGCATCTCCCTGTTTGAGCTCATCTGTGATGAGCTGATTCTCTTTAGGACCCAGCAGCAACCGGTGGGTGACTGAGTGACACACACATAGAATCATAGAATGTTAGAGTTGGAAGGGACCTTGCAGGTCATCTCATCCAGCCCCCTGAGTGAGTGAGTGAGTGAGTGAGTGAGTGAGTGAGTGAGAGGAAGCTTGATCCCCGCTCTCCCTTTTTTTTTAAACACGGCAGCTTTCCTAGACCTTTTAGTGTCTATTAACATTGGGATTCTGGGTTGCCTCAGAGGAAGGCTGAGGAGCCTTTGATGTAATTAGCTGGTGGCCCCCCCCAAGGCCTCCTCCCCCCAAAACCCCTAGCTACGGGGCTGGGGGATCAGGACAGATTTCCCTTTTCAGGTATTCAGGAAGGGGGCCAACTGCAGTTTAGGAGGGGCAATCGCAAAAGACATCTTTAGAAGAGGAGCAACAGTTATTCCGTTCCATCCCAATCTAGACTGCTCAATGACCAGGAAAGAGACCTGCTCCTGAGATTTGGAGAGTAACAATGTTTGCATTGTAGGGAAGAAGAAGAAGAAGAAGAGGAGGAGGCGGAGGAGATGGGCTTTATACCCCGCCCTTCACTACCCAAAGGCGTTTCAGAGCGGGTTACATTCTCCTTTCCCTTCCCCTCCCCACAATGGACACCCTGTGAGGTAGGTGGGGCTGAGAGAGCTCTTGCGAGGACTGCTCTTTCCAGAACAGCTCTGAGAGAACGTGTGACTGACCCAAGGTCACCCAGCTGGCTGCAAGTGGAGGAGTGGGGAATCAAACCCGGTTCTCCCAGATTAGAGTCCGTGCTCCTAATCACTACACCAAACTGGCTCTCCTAGATGGCCTGGGCTAGTCTTATCTCATCAGATCTCAGAAGTTAAGCAGGGTCTGCCTCCGTGGTACTGACCAGGGCTGATTCTGCTTAGCTCCCAAGATCTGAGGAGATCAAGCTAACCAGGCCCATCCAGGACACATAAGGTGGGGAGAGGGAATTCCCACCCACCTGTAAGTGGAAGAAGAGGTTCTTCAGCATATCAATACAAAAACCCTCCTCAGAAATCACTCTCCTCCCTCCCTCTCTCTCTCCAGGAAGCCTTTGCTAGGAGACTATAGCTCATTGAGCAGATTTTGTCAGGTCCTTTACCTGTTTCATAATAATCGTAGATTTTAACTTGAGCTGGTTTGATGTCGGATACAGGATGGCTTTCTTCTACAATGAACGTTAAAGTGATTGCCTTTGATGACACCTGAGATAAGGAAGACAGGAGGTATCAGAGAGGCTCTCCTGAGATTACAGCGGTGCTATAAACCTACAAATGCTTCACCTCCAAACTTACATTCTTCAGATACAACAGGACGTGATCATTCTTCTTTTCTCTGTGCATGATTTGGCTGTGGAGCTTTAGGAGAAGAAAAGGAGGAAGAAAATTGGTTTTCTGTGAATTGTGACACACTCATGATTTCTGTTTTTGCAACCCTTCACGCAGGTTCTAATATCAATTTCTGCAGCTGTGCTTTTTCCTTGTGTGTGTGTGTGTGTGTGTAAGGAGATTTCCATGTAGAAAACTCAAGGCTTCTTATTGTGTCCCTCCCCGACAACACCCAGAACACAACATCTCATGTCATTGCTGAACTCCTCTGTAAAATACCACACAGACTTGCCAACCACCAGGTGGGCAAACAAGAAGAAACACCGTGATAGAACAAAACACACTTCTGCTAATATGTACTTGTATCATCATATATTGATTTACTTGCAATAAAGACTCTAGTATATCTTATTCACATACAAAACCCTAAAGTACATTGTATCTACTAAAAGAAAAGTCCACAGCTACAAAGACCTCTTCCAACGCTGTAGGCTATCTTGCTCCTGATAAAGGCCTGATGCAACAGTCATAAATGATGAGAGATGCAGCAGGCTGTTATATTCTCCACAAAGAGTAATTCAGCAGGCATCAAAGCAGGCATGAAAATTGCAGCAGGCAGTTGTATTTTCCACACAAAGTGTGGAGATTTCCAGACTAGAGAGATCAGTTCCCCTGGAAAAAATGGCTGCTTCAGAGGGACGAATGTATACCTGCCACAGAGAGAGGCTATGTGCAGGGGGGTAAATGCTGCATACCGCAAGCAGCTTCAAAATGTTGCCATTCATATAGGGTTGAGAGGTCCCACCGAACCACTGGTGGGGGATGAAGGGATGTTACCAGATCCAGGTTGGGAAAGTCCTGGAGATTTGGGGATGGAGCCTGGGGAGGACAGGGCCCTCAGTGGGGTACAAAGGGCAAGGTGGAACAGGCTCTGCAGGCCATGGTGGGCCTGTTCCGCCACACCCTCTATCACTTCACTTGGAACTAGGCCAACAATGGATAACATCTGGTTTAGAACGGTAATGTGGAGTTCACCCTCCAAAGCATCCATGTTCCCCAGGGGCACTGATCTCTGTAGTCTGGAAATGAGCCGTAATCCCAGGGGTTCCTCAGGACCCACCTGGAGGCGGGCATCCATACATTCATACCTGGGAAGCCAGAACTCCCTTTGAAGTGGTCCACAGCCTCCCAAAGGAGGAACCAAAAGTGGGGTCCAAATTAGGGATCAGGTGGGCCTGCACAAACCCACACCTATGTGCGGAAAATAAAGTCCCGCTTTCTGGAACTACATATCCAGGATGGTTGGGGAGACCAGCTGCTTTTGGTGCATCGAAGTGCATTGTCCATATCTCTTATTAGCATAGGACCTGGGAATCCTGCCTGATCCCAGCTGGCCAGGGGAAGGGCCAAACTTCCCACCAGTGTTCCCTCTAAGTTGAGTTAGTGTGAGCTAGCTCACAGTTTTTTAGCCTCCAGCTCACGTGTTTTTGTCTCAGCTCAGGAAGGATGGCTCCAGAGCAAACTAATTTATGCAGTAGCCAATCACTCACTCACCACTTTTAATGCCAGTAGCTCACAAAGTAGAAGTTTTGCTCACAAGACTCCACAGCTTAGAGGGAGCATCGCTTCCTACTTTGCTTTAAGTTGTGTTTTTTAATTCCGGTCCTTATCATGGCCATTTGGAAGTGGCTGGTGTCCCCGCTTCCCTCTAGAATATCAGATTTGCACTTTTTTACCTGCTCTAGAGACGATTCTACAGGGAGAAAGCCGGACAGCATTTTGATGTCAACGATGGCCATGTTGGAGACGTTGCGCTTTCCGGTGTAGCTGGAACAAAAAGGGAGGGAAAGGCTCTCTCTGTGTTCTCACCAGAGCCAAAAACTGCGAGAAGCGCACTGGGAATATTCCCGGGAATATGGCGAGACATGTATTTTCTAGGCTCAGTTAGGGTCTCCAGCGTGGGACGGGCAACTGGGGAGAACTGAGGTCCATCGGTGGCTATTAGCCACAAGGTATAGGGAGGAACTCTAGGTCTGGGGCAAGTGATGCTCTGTATTCTTGGTGCTGGGGGGGGGGACAGTGGGAGGGCTTCTAGTGTCCTGGCCCCACTGCTGGACCTCCTGATGGCACCTGGTCTTTTTGGCCACTGTGTGACACAGAGTGTTGGGCTGGATGGGCCATTGGCCTGATCCAACATTGGCTTCTCTTATGTTCTTAAATTTTTACCAGGTCTTCCGCCTCCAGTCAAGTTTCCGGTGGATGCTAGAGCGTTGGCCCAGAAATGTTTGTGCCAGAAATGCTATTGTGTCTCGTGGGGGTGGGCACCTATTCCCCACTCACTTCCCCCCCTGCTGGCCTGGTGAGCGGCAGTGGGAAACGGGGCGGGGGGAGGCCTGGCTGGGAAAGGTCTCCCACTGCCTGGTTCTCGTAGGTTAAATAAGCATGAACCTGCAGCAAGTCTGGGGTTCCTCAGGGTACTGCCTAAGCCTTGCCATTATCCAGGTGGTGCCTGGAGATCTCCTGGAATTACAACTGGCCTCCAGACGACAGGAATCAGTTCCCTTGGAGACCATGGCTGCTTTGGAGGGTGGACTCTGTGGCATTATAGCTCACTGGGGTCCTTCCCCTCCTCAAACCCTGCCCTCCCCTGTCTCCATCCCCAACGTCCCATGAATTTCCCCAACCCAGAGCTGGAAACCCGACTGGGCGTTTCTGCTCTGCCATAGTCAGCAGTGACCAAGCCTATGGCTTGCCGCCCCTAGTTCCTATTGGCCAGACGGATTCCCTCTGAGACACAAGGAAGAGCAGGAGTGCCTCGGGCCCACCTCTGACTGAGCGCCTGGCTCAATTAGCAGCAGGAGTAGGGGTTGCAGCTCTGGGTTGGGAAATACTTGGAGATTTGGAGGGGGTGGAGCTTGAAGAGGGCAGGGTTCAGAGAGGGGAAGGGCTTCGACGGGATATAATGCCACAGAGTCCACCTTTCAAATTGGTCCTTTTCTCCGGGTGAACCAGACCCGTAGGCAGGATTTTTTAAGTCGGGGGACATTTAAATTTCTCAGGGGGCACTGGCTAATCGAATTAAAGGAATACCCCAGCTCCCTCCCCGCACTTGCCACCGCTTGGGGGCCCTGGGCTGGATGGGAAGTCGGGGGGGGGGGCCTTGCGAGTAACTCAGGGGGCCTAGCCCCAAGATGCCCCACTGTAGCTACGGGCCTGAGGTGAACTGATCTCTGTCTCCAGGAGGTTGGGAGCCCTAAGCATGAGAGAGATGCTAGTTAGCCGTCTGCAGTGTTCTTTTCTGCTGACCCGCCCCCAACACACAGAACTTCCTCATCAATGGGACATTACCTGGCTGTCAGGACCAGGTGAAACCGTGGGAGGAAGTTGCCAGTGCAGGAAGCATTCCTTGTCTGCACGGCCAGGGAGAACCCAGAGGCCTGCGAGGGCAGGATGATGTTGTACCTCAGGGTGGTCTGAAAGAGAAAAGAGCATGAATACAGGTGAGGCGGGGGGGCTAAGCAGCCAACGCGTCTGCCCAACGACGGGGTGTGCTGTTGGGGGTGCCGTTTACCTGCACGTAGGCGCATCCGAAGCCCTTCACTTCTACGCTATAGTTCCCGGGGACGCTGGGCAAGGCAGCCCGCTGCAGCAGAACGCGGTTCCTGCTGTTCACCTGGAAACGGGCCTGGAAGGTTCCTCCAGCACTGCTGACCTCTACCGTATTCTGGGCGTTTTTTGTGAAGGTGAGGGCCCCATAGCAGGATAAAGCTTGGAGTGCAACGTACGTGTCCTGCAGAGCAAAATTCAAGCCTGCGTTAGAAAGCGGCAAGGGGGATTCTCATTTTTCCTATGTGCATCCTTTCTTTCCCCGAGGAGCTCAGTGTCGTGTCCACGCAGGGAAAGCGTTATCCAGTTTGATTCCGACAGCGGTCCTGGCAAGGTAGGCAGAGTGGGCCAGTTACCCTGGGCTGCTTTGTGGGCTTCAGCAGTTTGGTACTAGATCTCCATTGCACCGGCCTTCCTCCTCGTAGACACAGAATCGTAGAGTTGGAAGGGAGCTCCAGGGTCATCTAGTCCTCCCCACACACACACCCAGTGACCAATGTTCCCTCTAAGCTGAGTTAGTCTGAGTTAGCTCACAGTTTTTTACCTCTGGCTGTCACATTTTTGTCTTAGCTCAGGAAGGAGAGCTCCAGAGCAAAATTATGCAGGAGACAAATTGCTCGCTCACAACTTTAGGGCCACTCACTCACAAAGTAGAATTTTTGCTCACAAGACTCCACAGCTTAGAGGGAGCATTGCCAGTGACCCCTGCTCCATGCCCAAAAGATGATTAAAAAAACCCTCCAGGATCCCCGGCTAAACTGTTTTGGAGAAAAACTGCTTCCTGACCCCCAAAGTGGCGATTGGCATTTCCCTGGGTGTGTAAGGAAGGGCCCCCCACAACAGACACCCTGTGAGGTAGGTGGGGCTGAGAGAGCTCTTTCGAGTACCGCTCTTGAGAGAAGAAGAAGAGATTGGATTTATACCCCGCCCTTCACTACCCAGAGGAGTCTCAGAGCGGCTTACAAACTCCTTTCCCTTCCCCTCCCCACAACAGACACTCTGTGAGGGAGGCGGGGTCTACGACACAATGATGGCGGACGCCTTTCCCAGCTCTCTGGGGAGGCGTACCGCACAGCAGCGAGGGGGAGAGGTGCCGCTGGTTCGGCACCCCCACGGGAGTTCAGGGAGAACTCCCAAGGCTTTTGAGGGTGAGCCTCTTTTCTTGCTAATGGCAGGGAGATGGAGGCTCCCCTCCGCCCTGACGGTCCCTCTCGTGACTGCGTCCTCTTAGTGAGGCCACAAGCTGTGTCGACCCGATCAAGCGCAGGAGATCTAGTGGAGGAGAGATTAAGAGCGTGGTCAAGATAAACACCAACAATGAACTGTGAGTTAAGGAGCGAACTGTGAGTGAAAATGAGCGATTTGTCTTCAGAAGAGAAAATCCCCTCCCCCTCAAAGGAAAAACTTTCTGAGCGATAACATGCTGAGAGAGGGATGCCTCTCAATGCATTTACATAAACGAGGGGGAGATGGCGAAAACTCCGAGGAGAAGAAGGGAAGTTGACGTCACTGCACTAGTAGCAGAAGCCATCAAGCCGATCTTGGAGCAACTTGTTGGTATTAACCAGCAGCTTGCCAAGATAAATCAACAATTTGTGTCTCGGCAGCTCCAGGAGGCGATCAGAGAAAAAATGGAATTGAGGGCTCTCAAAGCAAATGAGATGGACACTAAATTAAGCAGCGATCTCAATGAGAAAAGAAGAAAAAGTACAAGAGAAACAGGAAAAATTTACAAGGATTTAACTTCTTCCCTGCGAGTGTTCTTAGAAAATGTCATCTTAAAGTCTGCTGAGAAAAAAGAGCTGGAGGTGCCCTTCATAAGAAACTTATGAGGAGCCACTGGACCCCGAGACCAGAGTGGAAGAGGCTTAAGACTAGCGGTTCTATTCCTTTGGATGGAAGAAGATTGGGCTGCAGTGAACATCTAAGAAGCGATCAAGAATTTAGAGAGTTTTAGTATGGCTGTAAAGGCGGAAGGACTTTGCAGATTGCCTTTATGAAGCGAGCTGGAGGAGATGCTCGAGAAATCTTCTCATAACAAGTAACAATCTAACATATAAGCTTAGAAAGACAGGACCTCACAAAGTATATTGTTTATTAACAGCCTTTTTTTTTACTAACAGCATTTTAACAGGGAATGATCTCCTAACCTTGGGTTTTTAGCTTAGTTTGGTAGTTTATGTAGTATTATATATAAAAAAATCCCCTCCGGGGTCTTAAAAACAAACAAACAGACACCCTGTGAGGTAGGCGGGGCTGAGAGAGCTCTTGACAGAAACTGCTCTTTTTCAAGGACAGCTCTGACAGAACTACGGCTTGCCTAAGGTCATCCAGCCAGGTGCAAGTGGAGGAGTGGGGAATCAAACCTGGTTCTCCCAGATTAGAGTCCACTTACTAGATCCTGGCGGGATCTAGTCCATGGGGTCGCAAAGAGTCGGACTCGACTGTGCGACTGAACAACAAAAAACTTAACCACTACACCAAAGAAAGCATTGATGCAACCTGCCTTCCCTTCTCAAGATCTGCCTAAGTTCACAGATTGCTGTCAGATGGCCATCATCTTGCCTCTGTTGGATAACCTCCAAAGAAAGAGACGTGTTTCTCTCTCTTTGCAATTAAAGCCTCAAAAGGAGGAAAAAGGACATCGACACAGGATCGATTCTTTCTTCCCTTTTTTGGGGGGGGCGGGGCTGGCTGCTTTGTAATCTAAACACGTCAGAGGCAGGACTAGCAGCAACAATGGCTCTGAAGCTATACTTCAGTGTTTCACTGGCCAAACAGTTGGAAGACCAACTCCCTAGGTAAAGGACTAAGTCAAAAAGAGAGCTCCAGTCCTGGTGCCTTGAAGGAGAGAAGCCTAAATGAGGAGGGCGTGCCGCAGGCGAGGTGCCACCACTGGGAAAGCCCCGCCTCTGGTCACCACCTGCCTCGCCTCCTCAGGGGAAGGCTGCCAACTCAGGGTTCGGGAATTCCTAGAGTTTTGGGGGGAGCTCAGCAGGGGTGTGTGATGCCATACAGCCATCCCTCCAAAGCAGCCATTTCCCCCAGGGGAACTGATCTCTATAGTCTGGAGACTCCCTTGTGATTCCTGGAGACTTCCAGACCCCACCTGGAGGTTGGCAACCCTGCTGCAGGGAGCATAGGGGGCAACGCTTGGAAGGAAGATCTGAACCGGCAGGCAGGAGAGAACGGGAAGGAGGGTGGGGGTAATCATTTGGGGCTGAAGCCCCACTAGGGGTAGCGAAATTTGCTCACATCCATCCCGCGTCAATGTGGCCTTGTCTACACCATTGCTGGTGACCCCAGCCCCCCCCTTTTTTTCCGCTTTCTGGCCTGCTGAAAACCCCAAAGTATAACGGGAAAATTTCCAGTAGAAGCTAGGTAAGACAAAAAACCTGGAAACACTATTGCCGTCAACCATAAATATAGCCAATGTATTATTAAAAACCTTCATCTTGATGATTTCAAGTTACATTCGGTCCTACTCAAACCAGTGGTAAGAGGCCAACTGGAACCACTATAGCAATTAGGTATATACTATCTTATTTCCAAACAGTGCTCATAACCATTGACACAATTTACAATGACAAACAGCGCTGGTAGAAGAAGAAGAGATTGGATTTATACCCCACCCTTCACTGCCCGAAGGTGTCTCAGAGCGGCTTACAAACTCCTTTCCCTTCCCCTCCCCACAACAGGCACCCTGTGAGGTAGGTGGGGCTGAGAGAGCTCTTGACAGAAACTGCTCTTTTTCAAGGACAGCTCTTATCAGAACTAGGGTTTGCTCAAGGTCACATCAGCAGGTGCAAGTGGAGGAGTGGGGAAATAAACCCGGTTCTCCCAGATTAGAGTCCGCGCACTTAACCTCTACACCAAACTGGTAACAATCTCATATGTTTTTCATTCACAATACACAGCTCGGAGGAACGTCACAAAACATCTAAAGGGGCTACTCCACACATTTCCTACCTAGTGCGAACAGCACTTTCAGTAAGTGGCTGAAAGTGCTGTTTGCACCAGGAAGGAAATACGTGGAGTGGCCCCTTCAGATGATTTGTGACATTCCCACTGTAAATCCCTGCAGGCCTGGACGTATCTAGTTTGCTGATGTCACTTTGGAAAGCATCAAGCACCCTCACGATCTAAGGAGTTCTAACAAATAATTATGATTCCTGGTTTTCCCCCCCCCCCCCAAATAGCTTTTGAAAATAGTGGGCAAAAAGAGACCTTTCCCTGTGTAAAGAGAGATCAAGGTGTTGATTTGAAGCAATAGAACAAACTTAGAGTCCAGTGGCACCTTTTAAGACCAACAAAGTTTTATTCAAGGTGTGAGCTTTCATGTGCACACACACTTCCTCAGATGATGAAATGGAGTTACATATCGTAGTTGTATATATAGGAGTGGTTTGTTAAATTAGCCTGCAAAACAGTGAAGACACGTTTTTTCAACAGATCAAAAGAAGGAAAAGCTTAGTTCTGTTTCATCGTCTGCCGAAGTGCGCGCGCACAAAACTTTCTTGGTCTTAAAAGGTGCCATTGGACTCTGACTTTGTTCTTTCCCTGTGTGTTAATTCTGGGATGAGGCTGAGAACTTTCAAGCAGGGCAGGTTCCCAGTTTTTTGGGGGGCCTGGACAGACAGGGCCCCCCTCGTGCCCCCCTTCTACCCCCACATCTGCATGTCCCCAGCTGCCTGTGCATCCTTCTCCTGCTCACCAGCCCTCCCGCCGTTCATGCACTGTTGCCTGTACCACCTGCGATGGCCACCGTGCACCTCCCACATGCCCTTCCTCAGTGACTCTGGGCAGTTGGGAGCACGGGTACCGGCAGGTGGCTGGGGAGGTGTGTGGGTGGGGGTCAGGGGCAAGTAGGCCCCACCAGAAGTCCTGGCCTGGCAGCTGCCCCCCCTTCGGATGTGCTGACGCCAGCCCTGCTTTCAAGCCCCGCCCTGGAACTGTGGGGAAGCGCACTCACCTGAGTAGAAGCGAAGCCTCCGTAGGCGTTCTGCTGCCTGACGATCCACCGAGCGACCCGCGAGGCAAAAGTCAGGTCTTCCTGGGACAGGCTGGGTTGGCGGAGGAACGCCAGCAAGGCATGGCCAGTCATTTCAATATCCGCCGAGGAGGCGCGAGGATAGAAGGAGGGGAAGGCTTCTGCGGCCGGCCGGCTCTCCCTTTCCCAGTGGAGCAGGTCTCCTGGGAATGCGTAAGAGATCAGCAAGGAGGAGGGATACAACACTGCTCTAGTGGCCTGCCCTTTCCCTCTAGGGCAGCGTTTTCCAACCTGTGGGTTGGGCCTCAAAATGGGTTGCTGTCCCCCCAATGGGGGCAGGGGTTTACCTGCTTTCCAGGCCCCCAATCTGCCGATGCTCAACTGCCTGGTGAGGGGAGCCCTGCCCCTGAGCAGCCCCATCTGCTCTGATGCGCCCAGTGTGATGATGTCACCCAGAGGTGATGTCATTGCACAGGGCCCGTTGCAGGGGGGGGACGTTCTAGCATTCGAGGAAAAAACTCTATGGCTAGAGCATCCCCCTGCAACAGGCCCTGTGCAATGACATCACCTCTGGGTGACGTCATTGTGTGCGCATGCCAAAGACTCACGGACAGCATCTTGAGCCCCCTGCTGGTAACAGGTAGGGACCTGGCTACCGTAGTCCCGTAGCACCTGAAAGTGGTTCACAGGCCAGCCCTCTATGAGGGCCGCTCCCACCCTTGGCAACATCCTTTCTCTCCTTGTCACCTTCTCACATTCTTCCCTTCTGCCTCCCTTTTCAACGATAAGTGGGCAGGGGAGAATCTGCCTGGCAATGAGTAACTTTACGGTAGTTGCTGGGAGAAAGGGGGGAACGGCTGGAGAGTTGGTAGGAGCTGTTCAGTGCATGGGAAAACGAGAGGAGGAGAGAAAGAGGTGCGAGTCACAGGTTGGGAAACATTGGGTCGGCTCACAGTACTAAGCAAATTTGGACTTGTGGGCCACCCATACCTAAAACGATAGGAAACGCTACTCTAGGGCAGCGGTAGCCAACGTTTTGGGGGAAGCATGCCAGAAATCAAGCGCATAAGGCAGTGCCCTCCTGGCATGCACTACAGCGCACACAACGCTTTGGAGCAATCTTCTTTCGACCTGGGAAGCAGACAACAGTGCACCTCTGGTGAAGGTGGGCAAGCAACCACGCAGGGCTAAGCCACAGTTGCATTCTGGGGGGCCCTGACACCTGTCCAGAATTGCTCCTATCTCTGTTCTGGATTACCCCCAGACTGTCATTTCACGTGGCATTCTCACTGCAGACTGACTCCCTGCTACGACCTAGGCTGATGAGCCTAGAAGCCTGTAGTGGCCTCCACGGTGCTCAGCCGGTGCCTGCAGGAAGGCCCTATAAAGGGGAGCACTGTAGGCCCGCTCACAACTTTAAGGCTAGTAGACCATTCAGCTCACAAGCTGCTCACAAGACGACATGGCTTAGGGGGAACTTCACCGACTCCCTCATCCTTTAAAGTGGAGATGCCACGTGGGTTCAGCTGTGGACCTTCCAGACACCAAGCAGATGCTCTGCCACTGAGCCACAGCCCCTCCCTGAAAGGGTTAAGCCCGTAGGTTGAGGGAAACTGAGGCACGGGGCACATGAAGAGAACAGGCAGGCATAGTCTAAGACCCCATTTCCCTCACTTTGGCTCTGGACATCAGACAGGAAGGAGGAAGACCAGCTCTAGGCATATCAAGAGGCAAAGCTGAAAGACAGTGGCGGGACCCTGCCTGGTTTCCACCATACAGCCCGCTGCTTGATCAAAATATCACTTACCTGTTCTAGTGGCTGAACTTTTCAAGGCCTCCAAGTACTGTTGCCATCGTCTTTCGTCCACAACTAAGCTATAGGTATACGCCAGGAGAGCCTGTTCATAGGTGGCGTCAACACCCCTGGCAGAAGCCGCGTCCAAGCAAGAGAGGCACTGTTGCACCACCGGGTACTAAAGGGAAGAGGGAGACGCTGGCCTCAGTCACAGAGGAATCAAAGTTCTCGGGGCACTTACCCATGAAGGAGAGACCTCCTATTTTGTGCAGAGTAGTCCAAGGCACCCTGATGACTAGGAATTTTGGAAACAAAGAATCCCTTTGTCTGTCTCGGCCTCTGTGCATTATGTGGCTAAGTTCCCCAGTGCAATTCAGGTGTTCAAGTCTAAATCAATACACCAGTTACTATATGGGGTCGCTGTCTGGATTTTGGTGATCTCCGAATCTTTTCTCCACCACCTATGTCAGTTTATATGTAGGATAATGGGAGTCCGTTGTTGTGTCTCAGATGTCTGTCAGAGTTGAACTCGGCCAAAAGTCATTGGGAGCCACAGCATGGCTCCGCACTTTCAGGCTAAGGATTATCTTTGCTTTGAAAGCTGGAGGTCTGCTGTTCTTTCGTGAACGAGATGCTTACCTTCTTGATGGATGAAGACTGTAGATGCCAGATTAAAGCAGCCAGGGCTTATAACTGAAGCTATCTCCTCTCTACGTGTCCGGGGATGGTGTCTGCAATCTCACACTTACCAGCAGTGTTCCCTCTAAGCTGAGTTAGTGTGAGCTAGCTCACAGTCGTTTAGCCTCCGGCTCACACATTTTTGTCTTCCCTCAGGAAGGAGGGCTCCAGAGCAAACTAATTCATGCAGCAGCCGAATCTCTTGCTCACAGCTTTAACGCCAGAAGCTCACAAAGTAGAATTTTCGCTCACAAGACTCCACAGCTCAGAGAGGGCATTGCTTAGCAGTGGAGAAGGATGGCTGGTGGAAGAGAAAAAGGGGGGTGAAACTCGGTGGACCGGGGGGGGGGGGGGGGCCAAGGCCCCCGGGGCGCCGGGGGGGGGGGCGGGGGGGGGGGGGGTTGCCAATGCCGCCGGGGCATCCTTCACTCGGTGCGGGAGGGAGGCTGGCGTGCCGTGGCAGAGCACGGAGGAAGCCAATGGTGGTAGCAGAGAGGAAATGGCAAACAGGAGCACCAGCAGTGGCTGGTGTGCCGGCAGGGAATGGAGGCTGGAGACTGGGCAACAGCCCCGCCGAGGGTAAGGTGGGAGGGTGGGACCGGAGAGAAGATGCCCCACTGGGTGTGAGGGATGTCCATTACACGGATCCTACCCAGGAAGAGGGGATTGGAGAGCCCCAGTGGCGTCCTGCCTCAAGGGGGGGGGGGGGACACATTTATTTATTTATTGTTTTACTATATATCCCACACCGGCCCCCAGTCCAAAACAGTCCAGTGGCACCTTTAAGACCAAGTTTTATTCTGGTACAAGCCTTCTTTCCTCTGCGAGATCTGCACATTCTCCCCCCACCCCCCAATAGCTAGCAATCCAAAACAGTCCAGGGGAGCCTGAGCGGTGGGTGTTGCCTTCTGTTCTGACACACTTCCGGTGATGTCAGGGGGTGTGGCATATGCAAATAGGTTATGCTAATGAGTTATGCTAATGAGCTCCTGCGCCTCTTTTTCTACAAAATGACCCCTGGCAATAAGTATAATATAATTTTTAAATAATGAAACAAATAATAAAACCAATTTAAAACATTTAAAATGGGCAGTGCAACACACTGAACTCCAGTTTCTACAGCCGGAATAATAAGTTGGCTGACGCTGAGCTGTGATGGTCTCATGTAGCAGTGGCAGAGAGGCCAGCTGGTAGATGATCCGGTACTTAATTGGTAGCCAGTGGCTTAAGCAGCAGGTGCAGGGCAGGCCGAGGAAGAAGAGCGCAGGTGAGACCCAGAGATGCTGGGAGAGCGACAACCACAGAGGGCATTTGTTTCTTAAAGCTACAAGTGCCGCTTCTATTATTTTGGGGTCTTTAAAAAACCCATGTTTTTTATATTTCAGATTTGTCTGCAAACTGGGGCATTTTTTTGATCTGTAGAAAGACCTGTTCTTTTGTCTGCTTGTGGCTCCGGACTCCGGATTTAAGTATCCACAGTTGTGGCCATGTCGAGAGTTAGATATTCTCAGTGATGATGCCGTATTTGTAATGCCTCGTAAATGGAGTTTTATGCTTATGAACCCCTTTGAGATTTTGGGAAAGCAGGGGGGAAAAGAATATATTGAAGTAAACAAGCAAGCAAGCGTTTGCTTATAAGGACTTCCCAAGAGATCGTCCCCCTTTATTTTTAGCAAATATTCCCAGGGGAGATGGCAAAGTGTGTAATTATTCAGAACTGTAGCTAAGGGGCAGCACTGCGGACCTACCGTGGGGGTGGCCAAACTGTGGTTCGGGAGCTGCATGCAGCTCTTTCGCACATATTGTGCGGCTCCCGGCAGGGCGGCTGGGGAAGCTGAATATTATCAGCAAACAAAGTATCATTGGACGAATAGGTATCATTATCAATATCTGCTTTTACCGCTTTTGTTATTATTTTGGGCCGTCTCACTTAATGTTACTAAAAAGCAAATCTGCATAATTCCCAGTTTAAAACGTGTAATATCTGTTCATGCGGCTCCCAAACATCTGACATTTGTTCTATGTGGCTCTTACGTTAAGCGAGTTTGGCCACCCCGACGTGGTGAGTGGGAGCTGGCTGTTGGACTTCTCCTGGACAATGCTCAGGCTGCAGCATCAATGAGAGATTGTATAGCAACTGCCGCAGTTTTTTTTTAAAAAGCGTTTCAGAGAAATTATGAAAACGGACAGTGGAACCTAGCATCAGAGTGAATTCATACCGAGCTTGGACGCCCAGCCTCCAGCAGTGATACGGCAACTTTGGCAGTCAGCAGAAGGGTATAATTTCCTTCTTCCTGTTTAAATGAAAAACCAGTTCAGACAATTAGAAGGAGGAGGAGGAGGGAAGAGATTGGATTTATACCCCGCCCTTCAAAACCCGAAGGAGTCTCAGAGCGGTTTACAATCCCTGTCCCTTCCCCTCCCCACAACAGACACCCTGTGAGGTGGGTGGGGCTGAGAGAGCTCTCCTGAGAATTGCCCTTGAGAGAACAGCTCTGCGAGAACTGTGACTGACTCACAGTCACATCAACAGCCGTGGTGAGGATTCAAACCCGGTTCTCCCAGATTAGAGTCCACACTCCTAACCACTACACCAAACTGGCTGGGATGGAGTGGTGGTTTTCTCAGTCCCCCTTTCCCCCCACAACACTTTTGTCCAAATAAAAAGAAGAAGAAGAGAAGAAGAGATTGGCTTTATACCCCGCCCTTCACTACCCAAAGGAGTCTCAGAGCGGCTTACAAACACCTTTCCCTTCCCCTCCCCACAACAGACACCCTGTGAGGGAGGTGGGGCTGGAGAGCTCTTTCGAGGACTGCTCTTGAGAGAAGAAGAGGAGATTGGATTTATACCCCGCCCTTCACTACCCAAAGGTGTCTCAGAGCGGCTTACAAACTCCTTCCCCTTCCCCTCCCCACAACAGACGCCCTGTGAGGTAGGCGGGGCTGAGAGAGCTCTTGACAGAAATTGCTCTTTTTCAAGGACAGCTCTTATCAGAGCTACGGCTTGCCCAAGGTCATCCAGCCAGGTGCAAGTGGAGGAGTGGGGAATCAAACCTGGTTCTCCCAGATTAGAGTCCGTGCATTTAACCACTACACCAAACTGGATCTCTATACTCTGTACTCACTTTTATTTTAGGGAACCGCAGCTCTGTGGCTGGTTTTCACCCCTCCTGTGTGTTCGTTGGGGGGGGGGGGCTCCCAACCTACCAGCTGAGGGGCAGCAGCCCCCCTCCAGGAAGCCCAGCCTCACGGCTTCAGCGAGGGTTCCCCTCCTTCAGTGGGGCTTGGAGTCCTCTCTGGATTACAACCGATCTCCAGACCACAGAGATCAGTTTCCCCGGAAGAAATTGCAACTCTGGAGGACGGGCTCTGTGGCGTCACCTGCCTGTGGAGTTCCCTCCCCTTCCCAAATTCTGTCCTCCCCAGGCTCCACCTCCAAATCTCCAGGAATTTCCCAAACTGGAGTCACCAACCTTAGCTGCAAGGAAGAGGTTTTTTACCCCCCATACATTAGTGTGCAGACAGGTTCCCCCCCTCCCATCACTGAATGGGGTATGATGGTGTTGCTATCGCACATGGTATATGGTATACGCCTGTCCTGTTTATCCAGGTTTTCCTAGCGCTTCAGACACTTACAAAAACCTCTTTGGGCAGAGATGACCACAGCGTAAAAGAAACGTGTGGCAAATGGTCTCCACACCCTCTTGCCCACCACAGAAAAGACGGTGTGTTCCGTGGAACCCGTGCTGCTCTTTCACTGACTTGCAGCACTCTGTGCAAACATTTTTGGGGTGAAAGACAGTGGGAAAGGATCGGCTCTGACACATGAGTAAACCTCTGTGTAGTGCAGCTAGTCAGAAGGAGGTGGCCTGGGGGGTGGGGCAGGCTTCAGACTGGGCCTGGTATGTTGAGGTAATCCCGCAACAACTTCACTGAATTTTGCTGCTATAATGCTGGGTGGAGGTTTTGATCAACTAATTTGTGGGATTTAAATTGGTGTTTGTCAGCTCCCGTACAGAAAAGATGAGATCAAAAGCAAAACAAAAAACAAAAATGGGGGAGGGGAGTTCAGTTCGGACTGATGTCTGTGGGAATCGAACTTGCAACTTTCACATAAAAGAGCACATTCGTTAGTAAGGAATGAGGGCCCTGCACCCATGGCATAGAGCGGAATAGTGATTCCTAAAGAAGAGGCGTTACAGTCTATGACTACGAATAAGGCGGAGAGGATTTTGCAGGCGTCCAAAGGCTGACAGAAATCAGGACTGGGTGCCTGCACCCGCGTCGTTCAGAGATCATCACCTTCACAGCATTATTGAACACATCCTCAGCCTGTCGGAAGCAGCCGTCTGCCTCCTGCTTGCTTGCGATCCAGGTCAGGGCTCGGTCCAGGACGTTGTCGTCTATGAATATCCACTTCTTGCTCTCTGCCAAGGCTTTGTAGGTGAGAACGGTGACCCTGAATGGAAAGAGCACAGTGGAGTCAGGGACAGGGACCACGCTCGGCAGGGGGGGCAGACGCCTGGACCAGAGTCTCCTCCCTTACAATGTCTATGCATCTTACAGGCTTTGTGCATAAGGCACGGCAAAAGTGTGGGGGGGGGGAATACCTGTATTCCCTCAATGGGGTTGGGGTTTCCCCCAGTTTTGGGGGCCCCCAATCAACCTCCGGTCAGCTAGCCAGCAGGGGGAGCCCCACCCACAAAGAGTCCCAGCATGCTCAGCGCAATGACGTCACCCAGAGGTGATATCATCACACAGGGCACGTTGTGTGTTGGGGGGGGGGGCGGCGCTCTAGCATTTGGGTAAAAACTCTATGGTGACCACAGAGTTTTTACCCGAATGCTAGAGAATCCCCTGAACAACGTGCCCAGTGCGATGACATCACGTCTGGGTGATGTCACCCTGAACACACGACAGAAGACTCCAGGAGCTGGGCTGGAGCCCCCTGCCGGGATCAAGGTGAGATCTGGCAACCCTACCTCGAAACCAGAAGGACAACCCCAGGCATTCAGCCCCGGGCACTGCAAGCAATGCTCCCTCTAAGCTGCGGGGTCCTGTGAGTGAAAATTCTACTTTATGAGCAACTGGCATTAAAGTTGTGAGCGAGTGATTTGGCTACTGCATCAATTAGTTTGCTCTGGAGCCCTCCTTCCTGAGCTAAGACAAAAATCTGTGAGCCTGAGGCTAAAAAAACTGTGAGCTAGCTCACACTAAGTCAGCTTCGAGGGAACACTGACTGCAAGGTGCTTCTTCCTCAAGCCGAGCAGGGCTTTGGAGGACTCTACAGCGTGGCTTCTTCCTCAAATCCACCCCACATGCTCCTCTGAGTCACTGAGTTTGGGGAGCCCGTCCCTCTGTGTAGGAAAAAGCAACACCCTGTTGCAGGGGTTCCCAACCTTTTTGAGCCTGGGGCCACCTTTGGAATTCTGACACAGGTTGGTGGGCACAAACACAAAATGGCTGCTGCAGGAGGTGGAGTGAATCACAAAATGGCTGCCACAGGAGGCGGATCCAGCCACAAAATGTCAGGGTGGGAGGTTATAGATGGCTCTGATAGCAATTCTTCAACATTCCAGGCAGAAGCCTTTTAATCTGCACAGCCAATTAGATGCCCCGCTGGGCAAAAGCTAGGGATGCCAGGCTCCAGGTGGGGCCTGGAGATCTCCTGGAATGACAGCTCATCTCCAGACTATACAGAGCAGTTCCCCTGGAGAAAATGGCTGCTTTGGAGGGTGGGCTCTAGGGCATTGTAACCCACTGAGGTCCCCGCCCTCCCCACCTGCAGCCCCAAATCTCCAGGAGTTTCCCAACCTGGATCTGGCAACCCTACCTGCCCCCGTCCCCTGCCAGTAGCTGTGGTGGGGGACCTGGCAACCACAGAAAGCCCCACATAGCTCCGCCCACTTTCTAAAGGCACTTGGGGGTGCCTACAAAGTTGTTGGCAGGCCCCATGTTGCCAATGGGCCCCATGTTGAGGACCTCTGCCCTCTTGGCAATGCAGTGTCTCCTCCAAAGCAGGAGTTTCTGGATTCTCACCACAGGTTTCCTTCTTCAAATTGGCTCCCAAAAGTACTGAAGGATCCATCGGGGCGTCTGTACGGCAGCTGACTCTGGTATCCTGAAGTGGAAGGAAAAGGCCCAAAACCTGACGTGTCACCTGCTTTGTTTCCCCTGCCACCCTTTCCCCCCTCTAACGGGCATGTAACACTAAACTATTGGATGGAAGGTGGGCAGGTACAACCCCATCTCATCAGATATCAGAAGCTAAGCAGGGTCAGCTCTGTTAGTACTTGGACGGGGGACCACCAAGGAAGGCTCTGCAGAAGAAGACAATGGCCAACTGTCTCTGCTTCTCCCTTGCTTTGAAAGCTCCTTGCTGGGGTCGCCACAAGTCTTGGATGGGAGACCACCAAGGAAGACTCTGCAGAGGAAGGCCATGGCAAACCACCTCTGCTTCTCAGTTGCCTTGAAAGCCCCTTGCTGGGGTCACCACAAGTCTTGAATGGAAGACCATCAAGGAAGGCTCTGCAGAGGAAGGCCATGGCCAACCACCTCTGCTTCTCAGTTGCCTTGAAAGCCCCTCACTGGGGTCACCACAAGTCTTGGATGGGAGACCATCAAGGAAGGCTGTGCAGAGGAAGGCACTGGTAAACCATCTCCGCATCTCAGTCGCCTTGAAAGCCCCTTGCTGGGGTCGCCATAAGTCTTATGAGAGACCACCAAGGAAGACTCTGCAAAAGAAGGCACTGGCAAGCCACCTCTGCTTCTCCCTTGCCTTGAAAGCCCCTCGCTGGGGTCACCCCAAGTCTTGGATGGGAGACCACCAAGGAAGGCTCTGCAGAAGAAGGCACTGGCAAGCCACCTCTGCTTCTTACTTGCCTTGAAAGCCCCTTTCTGGGGTTGCCCTAAGTCAAACTTGATGACACTTCACACACACAAAACAATAAGCTGCAGACATTTGCTCTAGTGTATAATTGATGTTTGGATAAATGCAAAGTATTATTGGCTCAAAGCTCAGGTTTTCATACGGGAAAGTTACTGAATTTTGCCTGACAGGGCATTTGGAGCAAAATATCCAGGGAATTTTGAGGGAAACAACTTTCAAGACCACCTGTATACTTCAGAGAAGTAGTGTAGCATAATGGGGTTAAAAGGCTGTTCTACTGTAAACCAACACAGTCTGAAAATATCGATATACCGTTTTACTTCATTTTTTTACAAAGTCTCTAGCCCCTTTCCTTGCAGAGGTATATGGGGAAAAGAATAGAGAATATATGGAAAGAAGGACTCGAGACTTACTTTTTTATAATAATAAGAAGAAGAGTTGGTTTTTATACTCCACTTTTTACCACCTGAAGGAGTCTCAGAGTGGCTTACAATCGCCTTCCCTTCCTCTCCCCACAACAGGCACCCTGTGAGGTAGATCGGGCTGAGAGAGTTCTGAGAGAACTGCTCTTGAGAGAATAGCTCTGAGAGAACTTGTGACTGACCCAAGGTCACCCAGTTGTCTGCATGTGAAGGAGTGGGGAATCAAACCCGGTTCTCCCAGATTAGAGTCCGCTGCTCTTAACCACTTCACTACACCAGACTTGGGAATTCAGGGAACCTGATGCAAATTTTGGTATAACGGTATGTTGATCTAATTATATTAACTGCTGAGTTAAAAAAAAATACTACCAGGGAAACCTGCTGTGCAGAAGACCTGTTGCTGCTGTGGCGTATTAAACAGCCGCAACTGCCACAGGGAACCTCTACAAGCCTGTCCCCATTTGGCAAACATGTTTCAGCTACGGCAATCAGAAGAGACGTGTGGAAAACCCCGACCACGGACCTCCCCGGAGCCAGTTTTGACAGTCACTCACCACTGGAGAGGCGTCCAATGAACAAGGCTCTTTTGTCTTCTGTCAGTTGCTGGGTGTCGTTCAGGTAGTTCAAGATGATGAGATTGGCCAGGAACATTGCGATGTTTTGTTCCGCACACCCTGAAGGCATCTGGAGACGGTTTTCTGTGTCGCTCAGAGCCATGCCCAGAACATCACCTGTGGGGCGGGAGTCAATGAGAATTCACACAGCTTGGAAATTGGTGAATGCCTTCAGATTGGAAGTCAGGCATTCATGCTGAATGTGGCACAAATGTAGGAACACCCACACATACACACACCAGATTGGGGCCCACCCTGCATCTAGCATTTGCTCCATTGTTTTACCAAATCCATACTGGAGAAGAAAAAGTTGTGACTCAAAACCACATTCAAATACCTCAGGGGCCGACATACTAACTCCAGAGTCACCCCTGAATGACCATAAAAGGGCCATAAATCTATGCAGACGGTACCATAAAACCGAGAGATCAAAGGAAGTGAAACCGGCATGCGGAAACCGGCTACCATAAAATCCGACAATCAAAGAGAGTGAAACCAGCATGCAGTGTAGAGGGGAGTTTCTGTTCCAACATGGGTTTGATAAGACAGCAGAGCAAATGCTAGATGCAGAATGGGCCTCGATCGCAGAAGGTCAGTTCGGCTTGTGCAAAGGCCGCTTAGCATGCTTTCGGACTCTTGGGGGTGCACTGTGTTCCTCTTTGTAAAGGAATCGGGGCGTGTTGCTCCCTGCTTACTGCAGAGGGCGCCCTCTTGCTGCCTGCCAGTGACACGAGCCCTTTCCTTCTTTACCTGAAGGCCGCTCCTTCCCTTCCATTCTTTGGCCTCTCTTTGGCCATCTAAGGAGGATGAAACTCCACTGGTCTGTCCTAACAGACCAGCCCTGGCAAGTCCAGGCACGGCCTGGGCACAGCCACAGTGGGATGCTGAATTTGCTGGCTACTTAGGGTTGTCAATCTCCAGGTGGGGACCTGGAGATCTCCCGGAACTAGAACTGATCTCCAGCTGACAAAGATCACTTCCACTGGGGGGAAAAGTGGCTGCTTTGGAGGGAGAAGAAGAAGAAGAGGAGGAGGAGGAGGAGGAGGAGGAGATTAGATTTATACCCCACCCTTCACTTGGAGTCTCAGAGCGGCTTACAAACTCCTTTCCCTTCCCCTCCCCACAACAGACACCCTGTGAGGTGGGCGGGGCTGAGAGAACTCTGATAGAACTGCCCTTGAGAGAACAGCTCTTATCAGAACTACGGCTTGCCCAAGGTCATCCAGCCAGGTGCAAGTGGAGGAGTGGGGAATTGTTGGGTATTACAAGTTGAAAACACTCAGTATATCTGGGGTTAAATGTTTGTTTATGTTACTCACAGGAAGTCACATGTTTTTCATGTAACCAATGTTCTTTAGCTGTAGAAAGCCCAGGAATTTTCTCCCTGATCTAGGAATTTGATTGGGACTAAAGTGTCAAGGTATATTACCATTTTATGGCTTCTCTTCCCATCTTTGTTTGGTGTTCTGAAGAACAAGAAGAGTAGCCATACTCTCTCTCTTCTAGTTTTGTCTTTGTAGAGTAAGGATGTAGCCAATTATGCTCTGTTGTTATTTTCATTTCAGTTACCCTTCCCATGCTAGAATTTAGTAAAAACTTTATATTTTAATCACACATGAGTCTGAATTATTTTACTCTGCTGGACTATCTTATCTCTGCTAAATACCATTTTTTCAATATCTCACTATCACCCAACAGGAATCAAACCAGGTTCTCCCAGATTAGAATCCACACACTTAACCACTACACCAAACTGGCTCACAGTCCCCAGTAGTCTCCCTCTCTTTCCCAAACTCTGCCCTCTTCAGGCTTAACCCCCAAATCTCAAGGAATTTCCCAAGCCAGAATTGGAAACCCTGCCACTTGTCCAGGGAAAGTATTCTTTACTACTACTACTACTACTACTACTACTACTACTACTGCTGCTGCTACTGTTATTATTTTGCTTCTACTCCTGTGATTATGAACCTGTCTTCGATAAAGCAAGTTCTCTTCCCCCCCACCCTTGGCATTCTCTTTGCCAGCTCTGCCACATAAGCAGTCATTCCCCACAAGTTCATGCCTCACACAGCTCAATATTCCTATGACAACTCGTGCTATTTCTGTTCAGCTACAAACACAGAACAGAATCCTGCCCACAGGGTTTCTTCCTCACTTCCCATTCAAACGAGCATTTAATTTCCTTACAAGCAGGGGTCATTTCCTGCGGGAGCGCACAGGAGCAGAGCTCCAGCAGTAAGGAACCCAGGGCGGCCACATGCAACAAGCCCGCCCCCTGCTCCCAGCAGCCCTCAGTAGGGCCACGAGGAGCAGCCAGGTAAGTTGCGGAGCCTGCCTTCAGGTATAAGCTCTCCCTCCTCTGTAAGGGCAGATCTGTGGGTTCCCCCCCATTGCTAGCAATCCAAAACAGTCCAGTGGCACCTTTAAGACCAAGTTTTATTCAGGTACAAGCTCTCCCTCCTCTGTGAGGGCAGATCTGCACATCCCCCCCCCCCCCCATAGCTAGCAATCCAAAACAGTCCAGTGGAGCCTGAGTGGTGGGTGTTGCCTTCTAACACACTTCTGGTGATGTCAGGGGGTGTGGTATATGCAAATAAGTTATGCTAATAAGTTATGCTAATGAGCTTCTGCACCTCTTTTTCTACGAAATTACCCCTGCTTACAAGCCATCACCCAAAGAGTAATTAACACATGGAACTCACTGCCACAGGAAGTGGTGGCGGCTACAAGCTGAGGCAGCTTCAAGAGGAGACTGGATGAACATATTATTAGCCACAAGGTGTTGATGGAACACTCTGTCTGGGGCAAGTGATGCTCTCTATCCTTGGAGCTTGGGCGTCTGGCCCCACTGGTGGACCTCCTGGTGGCACCTGGGTTTTGGCCACTGTGTGGCACGGAGTGTTGGACTGGATGGGACATTGGCCTGTTCCAACACTGGCTTTTCTTAAGTTCACTCTTTGGATTTTGCCTGTGTAAATTAACTGTCACAATATAGGTGGAGCAGGGTTTGTTTCTCAGCTACATATCCAGACCAACAGCAAACAAAAAGGGAAGGGGAAAACTAATGCAGTTAAGTAGCCAAGCTGGAGCAAAAAAACCCAGTGCGAAAAAGGCCCATTTCGGAGAAATCCATCATTAAAGAAAATGTCTGGAGATCCAATGCTTAAAAAGTATGGATGGGAGGTGGGGGGTGGGAGATAGGATTTGGATCTGGACCACAATTCTAGGAAAGGGGGGTTTACTTCTTCCCTGTGTCCATACAGCTTCCCTGACAGAAATCTCACCCCAAAAGCTGGTATACGCCAGAGGGGGGGGGGGGGGGGAGCTGCCCCTAACCGTGGCTAACAGCAGCTGAGAGGGGGGGGGAGTTGATTTCTGCCGGGGAAATGGTGTGTCCGTGTGCTCATGTGCACTTGCATGTGTGGAGGAGCTCAACCCCCTGTGGCTGTACTTTGGCCTTCAGGTACAAGACACGGACAGGAGGACATAAAAAGTCCAACCTTTCAAGAACTTACCGAGGGCGGAAAAGTGGGCCGTTGCAGATCCCTCCACCACATTTGGAGGCAAGTTCAAGGACACCGATTCAACAGCTGATGTGCCTAGGGATTGAGAGCAACACAAAAACAAACGTGAATCCCTTTTCGGTGATCTCTTAGAATAAACGACACGGCTTTCAGGTGACGAAAGTGGCCAAGGGTGGGGTGTGAGCAGCAATGAAATCGCTCCCCAAATTCAAATGCTGCATACAAAACAGGCAGTATAGCTGGGCTTTTTTTGTAGAAAAAGCCCAGCAGGAACTCATTAGTATAATAGGCCACACCCCATGCCTTCCCTTGGCTTGCCTGGGTGCCCCGCAGCTGCAGGGAGCTTGGGCAAGCCAGCCCTTGGACAGGCCAGGGAAGGCACGGGGAGGCAGTTAGATGCCCCCCGATCCTTCCGGCCCTCCCCCGGCCCCCCCGCCTCAGAGTTGCGGGGGGGGGGTCGCTCTCCAGGCCTTCCCTCTGTAGCCACGCACGCAGAGGTTTTGGCTGTAGTGGGCGTGGCCAACTCTGAAGCCAGCCGGAACTCCGTTCCTGTGCGTTCCTGCCCAAAAATAGCCCTGCAGTATAGTATTCCATTCATGTGCACCTGCAAAAGGTAGAACTAACTTCTCCCTCCATGCCACTTTGGCTCAGGAAACTGTTTGGCGCAGCCACTATTTTCAGGAAGGGAATCTGAAGAACTGAGGCAAATTGAGGTGACCAGAGATAAAGTTCTAGACCGACTAGGGAAATTAAAAAAACGATAATCTCCGGGTCCTGGTGGCATATACCCGAGAGTTCTTAGGGAACTCAGATGTGAGATGGTTGATCTACCAACCTGTATATTTATTTTATTTATTAATTTTTTTAATTTATACTCCGCCCTCCCCAAACGATGTAACCTATCACTAAATTCAGCCTCTGTATCAGAAAACTGGAGAGTAGCGAATGTTACAACATTTTTTTTAAGGGATCCAGAGGGGAACCAGGAAATTACAGGCCTCTCAAGCTAATGGCTGTCCCAGGCAGATTAGGAGAAACTTTAATCAAAGATAGAATTATTAGGTACGTAGAGGGACAAATCACCCTGCTGAGGGAAAATCAGCATGGCTTCTGCAAAGGGAAGTCCTGGCTTGTGGAGTTCTTTGAGAAAGTCAACATGCATGTAAACAATGGTGACCTCAGCAAGTTTAGCCATGGTGACTGAGGGGGACTTCCACATTCAGAGGCACTACTGAATCCCAGAGCCAGGAGGCAACTTCAGGGGAAGGACCTCTCTGCCCTGTTGTTGGCCCTCTAGAGGAACTGGTTGGCCACGGTGTGAGACAGGAGGCTGGACAAGATGGACTATTGCTCTGACCCAGCAGGGCTCTTCTTATGTTCTTATGAAGGCCTGGGCCTCTGTGCCCTGTTGCTGGCCCTCGAGAAGAACTGGTTGGCCACTGTGTGAGACAGGAGGCTGGACTAGATGGACCACTGGTCTCATCCAGCAGGGCTCTTCTGATGTTCTTAAAACAGCATAGGGGGAAGGCAGGAGCCCCTCCCCCATGCTGCCATTTTGAGCTGTTCCGCATTTGCAGAGAGGCATCCCCCACAGCTGGTGTGCAGGCAGCTTTTTTAAAAATGTAACTTCTAGTTTGGCTGTAAGGGCATTACATTAGGAAAAAGTTGAGTCTGGGTTCTTGAATGTTGACTCTCTTTCCACAGCCACACAGCAGCTGCTGGGAGTGTCTGCTAGAAATAAAGGAGAGCCCATTTGGGATGGGAACTGCGGTGTAAGACTGCCCCTCTGTGCCTGTTTCTGACTAGAAATGGTGCTGTGGGGGGGTCATTTCCCCCTTTTTTGGCTGCTGTGTTTGCACAGAGTTTTGCTGACATTGCTAAGACATGGAAAAGGTGAACAAAAACACAAAAAAAGAAGAAAAGAACAACTCTAAAATTCTCACTATCAGGACTCCTTTTTCATGGTAAAATGGAGAAAGATGTCAAATGAAACCCTTTCTTTAAAAAAGTGTGTCATAACAAAACGATAAGACTTTAGCAGAACCTGTGGAACTGCACTATTGCTCTACTGAGAACCGTGAGAAATGTCTGTGAGCCACCGTTGTATACTGTGGAGCTGGGATGTTCTAGGGCAAGCCTGTCTGATTCACTGTATGTATGTATTAAGTGCCGTCAAGTTGCTTCTGTCTTACGGTAACCTGATCAGTTAATGACCTCCAAAACATCCTATGGTTAACACTTAACAGGCTTGCTCAGGCCTTGCAAACTGAGGGCTAGGCTTGCCAAGTCCACCCGGGGGGCGGGGAAACCCCCGCCCCAGAGGCCCGTTCCCCACCGCCGGCGGATCGGGCCCCGGGGGGAACCCCACGCCCATAGAGTCTTCCCTCGGATGACCATGGCCCCGCCCCCAGCGTGCCCGGCATGGTCGCATCACTTCTGGGTGATGGGGTTGCGGCGCGCACGCGCTTCGCACACGCACACACACTCCCAGAGCAGCTCTGGAGTCCCCCACTCCGGCACTGATCCGATTTGGGAACCCTACTGACGGCCCTTGTGGCTTCCTTGACTGACGCACTCCATCTCATGTTGGGTCTTCCTCTTTTCCGGCTACATTCAACTTTTCCTAGTATTATCATCTTTTCCAGGGACTCTTGTCTTCTCCTGATGTGACCAAAGTATGACAACCTCAGTTTAGTCCTTTTGACTTCTACGGAGAGTTCAGGTGTCATTTGATCTAGAACTCATTGACCTGTCTTTTTTGGCATGCCGCTATATCCGTGAAATGCTCCTCCAACACCAGATTTCAAGAGAATTAACTTTCTTCCGGCCAGTTTTCTTCGTTGTCCCACTTTCAAAGCCATACGTGAAGTCCGGCAGTCGTTTTCTTACCTTTTACACAGACAAGAGCGCTCTGGGTCACTTCCTTTTTGACACCTTCGGGCTGTGTGGTTGGGGGGGAAAAGGGGGGGAAAGAGGCATAAAAACAATGCTGAAGCCCAATGAAAGCACAGTGATACAGGAAAAAAGTCAACGCCCGTAAGTTGAGACAGAACGGGAAATGGCACCCACACCGTCGTTTATATGTTCAAAGTGCTGTTATGTTTTCTTTTTAAGAGTGTCTTTTCCTTCAGGCTCTGAAGACGCCACACTGCACACCTCAGCTATCGTGTTCCAGCCCCGCCTCCACTAGCACTGGGGTTGCCAACTCCAGATGCTGGCTGGAGAATTCCTGGGATTACAACAGCTTTCCAGGTGACAGAATTCAGTTCACCTGGAGAAAACGGTCACTTTGGAAGATGGATTCTATGGCATTACACCCCATGGAAGTTCCTCCCCTAACCCTGTCCTCCTGAGGCTCCCCCCACCCACCCAAATCTCCAGGTATTTCCCAACATGGATCTGGAAACCGTAACCAAACCCGCTCTGCCTGCCCGGCTAGACTCCGCATAAACCTTCTTTTTACCCACTGCCTGGATTGTTCCAGCTTAAGAACATAAGAACATCAGAAGAGCTCTGCTGGATCAGTTAGCCCCCGGCCCCGCGGGCCGGAAAAGGGGGGGGGGGGGGGGAGAGTGGCTATTTGCGCCATCGCATTCTGATCCGCCATTATGCACAGACGCCGCGGCGGCGTACCAGGGTTTTGTCCTTCGGTGCGCGCTGCAAAGAGGACAGCCGGAGGGAATAGGCGCACACACTGGCGCGATCACACCAAACGACTCCGTCTGCAGCCCGTGGCAAACCATATGCTAGTAGATCTTTGCAGGTACTTTTTAACTGCGCATCTTTGGCGGCATGCCACAGGTTGGCCACGGTTGCGCTATGCTTGCCACATGTTGCAGTGTGATCACGCCCCGAAAATCTGCCCAGCATCCGTGCCTTTCGCGCGGCAAATTCTCTGTGTGACCGCGGCCCTAGTCCTGCATCCTGTTTCATACGGTGGTCAAACAGCTGCCCTAGAGGGTCAACGGACAGAGCCTAGAGGCCGAGGCCTTCCCCTGATGTTGCCTGCTGGCACTGACACTCAGAGGTCTGCGGCCTCTGTATAATGAGTCCCCCTTTGGTTACCATGGCTAGTAGCTACTGATGAACCTCTTCTCCAAGAATCTGTCTAATCCTTTTTAAAGCCATCAATGCCTGCGGTCATCACTACATCCTCCAGCAGCTTCCTTTCCATGGCTCAGCCTCTTCCCGCCTCTCTACAGATGCATGCATCCATGACCATAAAACCATTTCTCAGACGTACTGAAGCAGACCCACAATGGCCACTTCCACACTGTCGTTTTTGCCACTCATTTGTCCCTGGGGCTTCAGGGTTTTTTCCCTCCCAATGTGTTCTGCGCTCTCTCCAGTAGTCCCAGAGGGAGCAAAACACAAGTGGGAAAGGGTGGGTGGGGGACAAAAATGACAATGTGGAAGTGGCCAACGTTATTTTCCCAAGGCGATAGGCAGTCTTTAACAGAAATGCACAACACATTAGCACTCCCATCTTATGGTGGATATTTTTAGAAGAAAAGAAGAAGAAGAGATTGGATTTATACCCCACCCTTCACTCAGAGTCTCAAAGCAGCTTACACCCTCCTTTCCCTCCCCATCCCCACAACAGACACCCTGTGAGGTAGGTGGGGCTGAGAGCGCTCTCTCGAGAACTGCCCTTGAGAGAACACCTCTGCCAGAACTATGGCTTGCCGAGGGTCATCCAGCAGCAGCAGGTGGAGGCGTAGGGAATCCAACCCAGTTCTCCCAGATTAGAGTCCGCGCATTTAACCGCCACACCAAAATGGCTTTATTGAGAGGTTTGACGGCATGTTATGTCCTCAGTGTGGTGATTCAGGATGCAGCTGTTGAGTCTGATGGAGAACATGTTGCCCCTTCATACTGTCCTGGCTTCATTCTAAAGCACCCTGCTGCTCAAGACGTAACAGAGCCCCTAACTTCTTACAGAAGTCTCGATCTCCCTGCCTTTCACAGATAGTTAGATCTTTGCGCTTACCTCAACCAACAGAGGCCGGATGACTGTGTCACGTCGTCCCACGCTCAGTTCACCTGGTTTGGCCTCGGCAGTAATCGTGAAATTCACTGCACCTGAAAGCCAAAGGCAAACCCATGCACATCTCGTTTATTTCCAAATTCTGAATGGGGGGAGGGGGAATGGCATAGATGCAAAACCACCAGCGGTTGATCAAATGATCACTTACTTGCCCTTGTTTACTAAACAGATCAGAGACAAACAACATCTGGTTACAAATGTCCCTGGGGAAATTTCAGCCCCATCACACGGAGCACAACCCAGCCAAAGAGAAGCATGACTGAGTTCCATTAACACCAGTTGGAGATGTTCTGCCATGTACTTAACATTTCCCATCGAAAATCAATGGGAGAACTTGGGCTGGATTGGTCCGATCTTCTTCATGCTCTTGTAATATGTAAGGTCAGTTCTGGTGGTCTGAAAACCAGGGATCCTTCTCTGCTCAGTCAGTTTAAGTAGCATTTACGCCGAGTCTCCAGAAACTGCTTGAGGCTACTTTAGAATTCCTGCAAGGAACTCGGAGAGCGCCAGCAAAGGGGTAACAAGATAAATTTAAAGAACCCAAACACTAGTCTAGTGGCACCTTCAAAAGTACCTTTTTAAAATGCCAGCATACACTGCCATAGCCTATGGACCACTTCTTCAGACATATGGCATTGTTTCTGACATGAAGTCTAGGCTATGAGAGCTTAGGCTGGAATTTTTTTAAAGTTAGTCTTTAAGGGATCACTAGTTCCCTGCATTTCTTCTGCAACAGATAAACACATGTCCCTCTCTGAAGACAAATCCAATAAATTTCTAATTAGGATGAAGTGAAGTTTCAGATAAATTTATGGACAGAAGGTGAGGGGGGAGGGGGAGGGTTTCCCCTTCTTTTAAAACTGAATCCAGAAAACTGGTGATGCCCTTCCAGCAACCTTGTATAAGATAATTCATTTTGGTTAAAACTTTCTCTGACCTTAAGTAGAACATAACCATAACTTCATGCTGCATTTTCTTACATTCTCGTTCACTTTGGTTATTATATCCCACCTTTCTCTCTCAGTGAGGACCCAGAGTAGCTTACCTCGGGGTCCTCTCCTCCATTTTCTCCTCACAACAACCCTACGAGGTATGCTAGGCTGAAAATGTGTGACTGACCCAAGGTCACTCAGAAAACTTCCATGGCAGAGTCTGTCTTCGAACCTGAGTGCCCCAGAACCTAACCCATCACTTTAACCACTACATCACACTGGCTCATTATAGGTGTTATGTATTAATACTGTGGCTGAGCTTCATAGACTGCAAGGATCCTGAGATTCTCCTTGTGAGCCAATCAGAAGAGGGCGTATTTTGGAGGGAATTATTGTTATTGGCTCTTTCCATGTAGAGGTAGTTGTGTTGAAGCAGCCTTGTGTTAGAGACCATTGCTTGCTAGAATGATAGGGCACTCGCTCTGATTGGCTGCCCAAGGAACAGACCAATCAGGGAAGACTAGAATGAAACAGGAAATGCAAACAAGGTGTGCTGTAGTGTTCGCTATGATTGGTTGTTACTGTGTCAGGAGGTGTGGTTTTGACTGCTCTTGACTGTATATAAGTGGGGATTGTTGCCGGGTTGTTTTGTGTGTTGTGTTCTGAGCTGTTTGAGAAGAGCTGCCTCAAGTCCAGGATTTAATAATAGGGTTGCCAGCTCTGAGTTGGAAAATACTTGGAGATCTGAGGGATGGAGGCTCAGGAGGGAAGGGACCTCAGCGGGGTATAGTGCCATAGAGTCCACCCTCCAAAGCAGCCATTTTCTCCAGGGGAGCTGATCTCTGGGGCCTGGAAATCAGTTCTAATGCCAGGATAACTCCAGGCCCCACCTGGAGGTTGGCAAATCTATTTTATTAAATCTTTTCCACCTATTTTATCTTTTATATACCATTTTCAGCATTTTACCACAAAGACGCTTACTACAATTTATAAAGACTTACATCCGTTTTTATTCAAGGATGTCAGGATTATCCTGTTTTAAAAACTATGTTCTTTGAATTAACTTGGATAAAGACAGCTTATTTTTTGAGGGGAGATATAATTCGGGGGGAAATGTGAGACCAAAAAGAATCAAAGACTGCAAAGCGGATGAAGAGCAGGATGGAGACAATTACCTAGTTTTTGAGGGTGAATTTTCCAAGTGTGGGTCTTTCTTTCATTTGCACATATCCTTGTGAAGGGGCTTTCGGCGGACAGAGCTTCTGCTTTGTAATCCGGGGACTCAGCCAACGCAGCGCTCACCTGAGAGAGAAAGAATCAAGGAGGATAGGTATAAATAAATGGACAAACAAAATGAGCGATTATGTGGCAAATCGGACCAACACTTTAAGTTAGCACTGCTGGCAAATCCTAATTATGGTATCCAAGATTACTTAAGGCCAAAGACTAACCAAACACATCATCTGTTCAAAATTTGTTCTATACTATTGACTCCTGAAGGGCCATGGTGGCTCAGAGGTTAAGACGCTGAACTGTAGACCGGAAGGTCTGTAATTCGGCAGTTCGAGACCCAAATGCCGCGTGATGGAGTGAGCTCCTGTCTCTGGCCCCAGTTCCTGCCAACCTAGCAGTTCAAAAGCAAGAGATTGCAAGTAGATAAATAGGTACCGCTTCAGTGGGAAGGTAACAGACCATGGAAACGTCTTTGGACAGCGCTGGCTCTTTGGCTTGGAAGCGGAGATGAGCACCCCCCCTAGAGTCAGATTTGACTAGCCTTTGAGCAAGGAAACCTTTACCTTTACTTATTGACTCCTGATTCTTCCCATTTTTAACCAGAGTTATAGCCTTGACCTCAATGGGCTTAAAAGGTTATAAGAAAAATCCAGCAGCACCTTAAAGACTAACAACATTTATTTCCAAAGATATTTTGCTTTATGTTTTAAGGACAGACTGGGCTTTTCCGCATTCTCATTTTACTTGTTGGTAAATTCCTGTTTCTTCCGGTTCCCCCCCCCTCCTGTTCTGCATGTGTTTTGCTCTCTCTAGTGGTCAATTCAATATCACACAGCTGTTTTGCAGCATATCTCCCTGCAGATTTAAATTGCAGGGTTCTATGCCGGAAAAAAAAGCTGTGTGATATCAAATTGACCACAAGAGGGAGCAAAACACTTGCAGAACGGGTGGGGCCGGGGGGAGGTGGGGGGAAGCCCTGAATAGAAAGCCAGGCCCTTATCAGCAAGTAAAATGTGGAAAAGCCCACTGGCATGACTATCTCTTTGCAATCATACTGTAAAACATCTCTTTTTAAATGGTAGAATGGCAGGCCTGGAATTACAACTGATCTCCTGGAATTACAACTGATCTCAGGCTGACAGAGAACAGCTCCTTTGGAGACAATGGCTATTTTGGAGAGCGGGCCCTATGGCATTCTTCCTTGCTGAGTTCCCTCCACTCCCCAAACTCCACCCTCAAATTTTCCAGGAATTTCCCAGCTTGGAGTTGACAACCCTACAGAGTGGGCTTTTGATTCTGGGTCTCCTAGGGCCCAAGAACTAGAGAAAGAAGGGTATCCAGTTCTGGGTTGGGAAATTTGGGGAGATTTGGGGGCGGAGCCTGAAAAGGACGGGGTTTGAGAAGAGGAGGGGCCTCAGCAGGTTATAATGCCACAGAGCCCAAATCAATTGCATCAGCCCGTACTAGAACTCCATACTTAGCCAATATCTCTAAGAGCGTCCTTTACCTCTCTATGGTTTCAATCAATGCCAATGGCAATTTTGGAGGGCCGATTTAATCAAACTCCATTGGTCCATCATCTATGTATTTGTGGCACCCATGAACTTGAGGATTTACCTCACTATATCTTCTTTTGCCCACTGTATTCTAGTCTGATGGCTAAATTTTTAGCAGGTATTTTATCTGGTCTTAGTGCTTACCCAGTTGAGGATAAAATGTTGTTTTTGTTATCTGACACTGATGCATATGTCTCTTATAAAGTTTCATTATTTGCCCTTGCTGCAAAGAATCTACGTTCCAAGGTGGCAACGGGAAGGGACATTATTTAGGCCACTGTATTAAGTTACGGTAGTCATATTTTGTTATTGATTTCTGGTACTTTTGTATATTTTGATATTCACCTATCGTTTGCTCACAATTTGTATTTTGCGATCTTGTCAATGGCTAATTACAATAAACTAAACTGAAAACTGAAACTAATGCCACAGAGTCTGTCTTCCAAAGCAGAACTGATCTTGCTTGGCGATTCAGGGCTCTTTTTGTAGCAGGAACTCCTTTGCATATTAGGCGACACACACCCTAATGTAGCCAATCCTCCAACAGTTTACAGTAGCCCCTGTAAGAAGAGCTCTGTAAGCTCTTGGAGGATTGGCTACATTATGGACGTGTCGCCTAATATGCAAAGGAGTTCCTGCTACAGAAAGGGCCCTGAGATCAATTATAATAGTGGGAGACCTCCAGGTGCCCCCTGGAGGTTGGCAGTCCTAAGAGAGAGAAAGAACTACTTTACCTCGATGCAGTGGCTCAAGTAATTGAAGATGTTGGCTCTGAGAATGAAGTGCTCCCCCCGGATAAGGGAGTAGGGGAGGGTTGGTTCCACAAAGAACGGCTGGAAAGCTGTCAGGTGTGCTGGCTTGGAGATGCCAAACCCGGCCTGGGCTTCCAGACAGAAGATGCTGGCTTCCCATTTCGTGATGGTGTCTGGAACAGTGTACGACAGACTGGCCCTCCCGCTAGAACTGAGACACAGAACAAGGAACAGTTACCAGCCACGTTGCTGGGATATATAAGAGTCCCTCTGTACTCTAAAGAGATGCCAAGCAAGGTGCGTCAAGGAACCAGAATGCCAAAATCTAGAACCAAATCCCCAAACATTTACCAACAGGACAGGCCAACAAATCCCTATTGAAACCAGTCAAAACAAACTTTGATAGCAAATGGTTCCCAATATTAGAATTTCTATCACGGCATGAATTCATATCACCAGAATGGAAGCAACTGCAGAAATGGCTCTAAACACCAACCCTCTCAAAAGATTCTAGGTTCCACAACGTCGTGTTTGGGGAGGGAGGGAAAGCGTAATGGGAGATGTCAATGTCTTTTAAGGTCTTTATACTTCTTAATTAGCTTTGGAACTATTCTCTGTCTAGACAGATAAACTGGATTTTAACTTGAAGCCATGAATAAGGAAACTCCTCATGTCGGAAGGTAATTGTTAAGAGTTATAACTTTGTATCTATAAGCATATGTAACCTGGAAATATTCAGTGACCGCTGTATTAATGGGCTTCCAGACAAAGAAATAAAGCTGAGAAAGAGTTCACACATGAAGATAGAAGAAGAAGAGAAGGAGGAGGAGGAGGAGGAGATTGGATTTATACCCCACCCTTCATTACCTGAAGGAGTCTCAGAGCGGCTTACAAACTCCTTTCCCTTCCCCTCTTTACAACAGACACCCTTTTAGGTAGGTGGGGCTGAGAGAGCTCTGACAGAAACTGCTCTTTTTCAAGGAAAGCTCTTATCAGAACTATGGCTTGCCCAAGGTCACACCAGCACCTGCATGTGGAGGATTGAGATTTCAAACCTGGTTCTCCCAGTTTAGAGTCTGCGCACTTAACCACTACACCAAACTGGCTCTCTTTAGTATATGGTCACACATGATGATTATACTGATTATACTGAATCAGACTATCAGTCCATCAAATTCAGAATCGTCTACTCAGACTGGCAACAGGATTGTCTACTCAGACTGCTCTCCAGGGTCTCAGGCAGATGTCTTCCACATCCCCTACTGCCTGATCTTTTTAACTGGAGGTACCAGGGATTGAACCTGGGACCTTCTGTATGCCAAGCAGATGCTCTGCCACTGAGCCACAGCCCCTCCAGTCAGGTTCCTATCAGGAAGAGCAGCTATTGGGGACCAGACTCTTTCAACTGGATCCCGGAAAATGGCCAAAAGGAAAAGCAAAAAGACTCACTTGATAGAGACTGCATCCCACATCCAGGTTTCGGGAAAGAACTGTCTCACGGTCTCGACGAGACCCCCAAACCGGCCACTATAGTCCGAACCCATTTGTACTGGGGGGGGGGGAGGCAAAAGAAAAAGAAAAGAAAAAAAACACAGTGAAAAGAGAGGAGGGGTTCAAGTTTAAGGAAGAGGCAACGTCCGAAGACGTTTCCGTGGTCATGTGGCCGGCATGACTAAGCACCAAGGCGCACGGAACGCTGTTCCCTTCCCACCAAAGTGGTACCTATTTATCTACTTGCAATTTCTTGCTTTCGAACTGCTAGGTTGGCAGGAGCTGGAACTAGAGATGGGAGCTCACTCCATCATGCGGCACCCGGGTCTCGAACTGCTGAACTACTGACTTTCCACAGCCTGCAGTTCAGTGTCTTAACCACTTGAGCCACCGCAGCTCCTTATACTCAGTGGGGGAACCCAAAGAGGCTTACATCTTTCTCCCCTCCTCATTTAAGGCAAGGTGGGTTTGGCTGACCTGACCTGGGTGGCCCAGGCTAGCCTGATCTTGTCAGATCCCTGAAGCTAAGCAGGCTCGGCCCTGGTCAGTACTTGGATGGGTGACCACCAAGGAAGCCCAGGGTTGCTCTGCAGACACAGAGAATGGCAAACTGCCTCGGAACATCTCTTGCCTTGAAAACCCTCCACGAGGAGAAAGGCAGACAGCTTAAGCCACAAGAGGCCAGCTCTGTTTTTAACAGCTACAGCTGGTGGGTGGACTGGAGTTAGGGCTGATGTTCTCCGGGTGGGGCCTGGGGATCTACTGGGGTTACAACTGATCTCCAGACGACAGGGACCAGATTGCCTGCAGGAAATGGCTGCTTTAGAGGATGGACTCTATGGCATCGTATCCTGTTGATCTCTCTCCCCATTTTGGTCATTTGGTCCCTTCAGATAGTTAGCTGCAATGCCAAACCTTGCTTCCTTTGGAGAGTTACGTACGGCAGGGCATTTCACTTGATATTAGCAGGGCACTTTTTTTTTTTGAAAAAGAGGTGTCAGAACTTTCAAGAGGGAAATGAAGTTTTCAATCTGCATGCTGAAAACTCATGAACTTCTAAACACTTTCAAAAGACTTTTATCAAAGAGGTTCCGGAACTCCATTCTGGCACGCTCCCCTAGAAAAAAAGCCCAGGTAAGCATAGCCAGCTCTGGGTTGGGAAATATCTGGAGATTTTGGGGGTGGAGCCTGGGGAGGGCGGGGTTTGGGGAGGGGAGGGGCCTCAGCTGGGTGTAATCATAGAATTATTATAGCAGTAAATTAACATACAGGTAATAAAGGAGTTAACAACAGATGTGAGAACTAAGTTTGCGTCTAGTGGTCATTTACATCCATGGAGTCCAAAGCAGTTATCTTCTCCAGAGGAACTGATCTTGGTCACGTGGAGATCAGTTGTAATAGCGGGAGATTACAAGAGGGAATTAGATAAGCATATGGAGCGGAGGTCCATCGGTGGCTATTAGCCACAAGTTATAGATATGGACTCCGGGCCAAGTGGTGCTCTGTATTCTTGGTGCTTGTGGAGTGGGGTCAACAGCGGGAGGGCTTCTAGTGTCCTGGCCCCACTGCTGGACCTCCTGATGGCACCTGGTATTTTTGGCCACTGGGTGACACAGAGTGTTGGACTGGATGGGCCATTGGCCTGATCCAACATTGGCTTCTCTTATGTTCTTATGAGATCTCCAACTGCCACCTGAGGGTTGGCAACCCTACCTGATAACACCCAATGGGCAGTGGTCCCTCTAAGGTGTGCACGTGAGCGGCTGCTCATTAACACAGGAAGCCCCGCTCAGCAGCAGTTCTGGAGCCACGCAGGGTCTTGGCACTGCCCACTTGAAGATCGCAGCAGTTATTTTCCGCTCAGGATGTGAACTTGTTCTGCTTGGGGCAGGGGGGGGGGCAGAATCAGAGGGAACATTGCCCACAGGGCTGACGAGTCATGGACAGACCATCACTTAACATCTTAAACACATTTGATGTTACTTACATGAATATTTGGGGAACGCACCATCGTGGTTGTCATCATCCGAAGAGATTTTCTTGCACTCCAAATCACTTTGGCACATGACAGGCTTCTGCAGTGGGGAGCTGGTGAAAACCTTGAGACCCATGTCCTTGAAATGGATAGACAAGGTTACTCGATTTCTGTTGGAGTAAGGAGACGCAGCACGCCTGGACAGTGTTCCCTCTAAGCTGAGTTAGTGTGAGTCAGGTCACAGGTTTTTAGCCTCCAGCTCATAGATTTTTGTCTTAGCTCAGGAAGGATGGCTACAGAACAAACTAATTTATGCAGCAGCCAAATTGCTCACTCACAACTTTCATGCCAGTAGCTCACAAAGTAGAATTTTTGCTCACAAGACTCCACAGCTTAGAGGGAGCATTGCTCCTGGACATTGGATGGGGATGCTACATTGCTCCAGAAATGTATATGCGCTATCTCTAATGAATGAGAGGCCTCTTTCTGACTCCTCCTCCTCTTCCTATGCCCTTTGTGTTCTCTCCCTTTCTCTTCGCCTGTGGAACTGCAAGAAGCAGGACGTATCTACAGGTTTCTCCTTACCCGCACATATGTGCTACCAGATTAGCTGGTCATCTATGGTAAAGGAGTCGTATTCTCCGGATTAGGCTTCTCGCTCTTCTTTCAACAGCAGCACGGATGTGAACAGCCACTGGACTCAAACTTAGTTCTCACTTTGGTTGTTAAACTCCTTTATTATCTGTATACTAAACTGCTGCCATCCACAGGTCTTACCAACGTTGACAGTCCAATCTTAGCTATACTTATTGCGCAGTTACTTACACGTCTTGACTCTAACTAGCCCTTCCTGGCAACTAACCCTCTCCCCACCCTCTACCTATATGTAAGGCTTGAGGAAGTTGGTTTCAATGTATCTGCACAAGTGTGCCTGCACACAAAAGCCGAGCCACTCAGTTCTTGCTGACACCCAGAATTAAACTTTGGCCCTGATCACACGGAGATTTTGCACTGCGAAAGGCATGGATGTCAGGTGGATTTTTGGGGCGCGATCGCACAGCAATATCTGGAAAGTGTAGCGCACCCGTGGCCAACCCGTGGCATCCCGCCGAAGATGCGGAGTTAAAAAGTACCAAAGAAAGTGCACTAGTATCTGGAAAACACGCGACACAAGCAGGTGTCTGATCGCGAGAGCGCTCGTATCCCGTGGCATCCGGTGCCCGTCCACATCCCGTCGCAAAGCGGATGTTTTTCATAAGCGCATGCACACAAACACGAAAATGAAAGTAGTGCTGGTCCGCGGAACTGCGCATGTGCACAAATGCGACATGCTTGTGTCATCGCGCCACACCACTTCTTTGCCACACTGCAGCATTGCCGTGTGATCGCCAGCTAACAGCCTAAGCACGGAGACTTGGGGGACCGTGTGATCGGGCTACCGCACTTTATTTTGCTCTGGGGCGAACAGCCACGCCTCTCCTCCGCGTTATCTGGCCCGTGTGACCGGGGCCTTTGTTGGTCTACTCTAGAAGGTGCCACTGGGCTCAAACTAAGTTCTCACAATTTGCTGCTATTCACAGGTTGTACAAACTGCTTTAATTCAATCTTAGCTATAATGATCACCCAGTTACTTATGCGTCTTGACTCTAATCAGCCCTTCCAGGCAACTAGCCCCCACACTCACCCTCTCTCTTCCTATATGTAGTCCTTCAAGAAGTCTGTTTCAATGTATCTGAAGTGTGCCTGCACACGAAAGCTTATGCCCAGAATTAAACTTTGTTGGTCTTAAAGGTGCTCCTGGATTCTCAGACTTCGTTCTCACATCTGTTTGCTAACTCTTATATCAATGCAAGCCGATAAAAGCTCTGCCTACCCTCAACACCCTGTCAAAAATAATCGAACATAAGAACATAAGAGATGCCAATGTTGGATCAGGCCAAAGGCCCATCCAGTCCAACACTCTGTGTCACACAGTGGCCAGAAATACCAGTGCCATCAGGAGGTCCACCAGTGGGGCCAGGACATTAGAAGCCCTCCCATTGTTGACCCCCTCCAAGCACCAAGAAGACAGAGCATCACTTGCCCCAGAGCCCCATCTATACCTTGTGGCTAATAGCCACTGATGGACCTCTGCTCCATAGGCTTATCTAATTCCCTCTTGAAGCTGTCCATGCTTGTAGCCGCCACCACTTCCTGTGGCAGCGAATTCCAAGTGTTAATCACTCTTTGGATGAAGACGTACTTCCTCTTATCCGTTCTAACCCGACCGCTTTTTACAATAATTTCAACAGTGTACTTTAAGTGTCCAGTAGTGACATTACAATTCACACGTAAGGCACCATGAGCATATTAACAACAACAGGTGCAAATTCTCACACAAAAAGTGTCAGCTCACTGCCATAAAGGGGGATGTTCACTCCTTAGTATGCTACTTTCGATTCTCTGGTTGCCTCAGTGATGTTCCCTTATCTGTATATTTTATGTGCTTGGCCTTGAGTGCTTTGCAGTAACACCCCTTCTCTGGGAAAGTGGGACAGTTACATTCTGGCAGGCCCCTTCTCCTCCCTTGATTGGCTATATGACTCCCAGTGACCCCTCTGAACAATGCAGATCCATTCATCCCATGCTCTATGCTTTAGTCTTAACACAGTACCTGAAGTATAGATACTCTGCCAATACTGCATCAATAAACGTTCCTTCTGAAGAAGCAAATCGTTGATTATGATTGTTGCAAAATGTCTACTTAAGTCTGACAAAAAGTCTATTTAAGTCTTTCTTGTAGAAGATGAAAGCAGTCAGATGAAAGCAGTCAAGCAGTCAACTCGCTACTCTGGACTGAAAAGTGGTTAGTATAGATTCTTTTCGGCATGGTGTTGTATGAATCTTGAGTCTTGTTGTCCACTGTGGCCCCTCGACACCCAGCAGAAGGCCACTGTGAGTTTCCCCAGCATCTCCCCCTACTCGACGACAGTTTATTCCTTTCCCTTCCTCACTTCCCGGAACCTTTGCATGCCCTGCCCAGAACTCTATTTGGAATGCATGTGAGAAGTTCAGGAAATAATGAGGACATTTCTGAAAATCATCTGAACTCCTGCACCTGTGCGTACACTCAAAGCTGGCTTTGTCCCGTATCGCATAAGATTTTCTACTAGCGGAGACCCACTGTCCAGTGACACATGGAAGAAATTAAGGCGGAATTTGCTACATAGCAAATGGTCCATACCTTTCTATTTTCTATTTTATTGGGGGGGGGGAGTATTCTGTGTGTGTGTGTGTATGTGCTTGTGAGACTGTAAGTCATGGTTGACTTCTAGCGACCCCTAATGGGGCTAGTACGTTTCAGAGAGGAGGAGGAGGAGATTGGATTTATACCCCACCCTTCACTCGGAGTCTCAGAGCGGCTTACAGTCTCCTTTCCCTCCCCCTCCCCACAACAGACACCCTGTGAGGTAGGTAGGGCTGAGAGAGCTCTCTTGAGAGAACAGCTCTGAAAGAACTTGTGACTGACCCAAGGTCACATCAGCAGCTGCAAGTGGAGGAGTGGGGAATCAAACCTTGTTCTCCCAGATTAGAGTCTGTGTTCTTAACCACTACACCAAACTGGCTTGATAACCTGCCTCTGCATCCCAGCCCTGCTATTTCTTGCAGGTCGCCCTTCCAAGTACTTGCCAGGGTCAGCCCTACTTAGCTTCCAAGACCTGATGAGATCGGGCTTGCCTGCACTATCCAGGTCAGGGCTTTCTTAATAATTTCTTGCCCTCTAATTACGGCTGCTGGTAATGCATGGCTTATTGACTTCATAAAAGCATCAAGGCCTGGCCCTAAGTAGGAAACCAACATACCTTGACAATATCGTAGACGTTCCTGTCATCGGTAACATTCACGGGCAAATAGTACAAGCCTTTAAAAAAGGTGTGTTTCAGCTCAATGCATGGCTGTTTAGGATCATCTTCCAAGTCCAGTCCCCCATAATAATAGCCATAAGAGTGCATACGGGAAAGCTGGTTATAGACCTGGTGAGAAAGGAAGAATTAATTTAGGCCTCGAAGAGAAGTGGAAACAGGTCTTAAACTGTGACGATTCACTGCAAGCAAGAATAAGCATCACTTTTAAAGGAAGTCCAAGAATCAACACATCTAATTCTCAACTTGTCTCCATGTGGATCGGGGCCAGGTGGAGAGAAAACAGAAGAAGAGATTAGATTTCTACCCCGCCCTTCACGACCCAAAGGAGTCTCAGAGCAGCTTACAAACTCCTCTCCCTTCCCTTCCCCACAACAGACAACCTGTGAGGTAGGTGGGGCTGAGAGAGCTCTCTCGAGAACTGCCCTTCAGAGAACAGCTCTGAAAGAACTTGTTGCTGACCCAAGGTCACATGAGCACCTGCACGTGGAGGAGTGGGGAATCCAACCCGGTTCTCCCAGATTAGAGTCCAGGATTTATGGTCTAGCACGGAAAGGACCAGAGTGAGTCAAAACAATCAGTGTGCAGATTGGGGGGGGGGGGGATCCAATACAGAGTGCAGGAGGATTGAGACTGTAGATGCCTGGTCCCATAAAGGGTTCAACCCACTTGCTGACTTTTGTATACATGTTGCTACGAGCTGCTAACTTCTGGATATAGCCAATGTTATATCAATCGTAAGATTAAGAGAGAACAGCATAACTACCTAAACCCCCCCCCCCCATCACCAGGGTTAACAAGGCTCTGTCAGCGGATACTCTGCCCTGGGGCACACACACCTCGCTGCTGATCAGCTGGCCAGCAGGGAGAATTATTGGCAGTAAAGGAAGGCCTAGGCTGGCAACAACACTTCTGGTGTGCACTGGGAATGACATCATCACATTGCTAGTGACAGAATCACAGAATCATAGAGTTGGAAGGGGCCTCCAGGGTCATCTAGTCCAACCCCCCTGCACAATGCAGGAAATTCACGAATACCCAGAGGTCGATTCAGGGGGATCACGGGGGATCGCAGTTCCCCCGGGTGAGGTGGGGGGCGGGGCACATAATGAAGCCCCGCCCCCTGCTTCCGGCCGCCCTGCTTCTGGCCCTCATTCAGCCAGGAGGAGGCAGGAGAAGAGGGAGGGTAAGTTGCTTCCTCCCTGCCTCTCCCCACCCCTGCCTGCCTGGGGCCAGGGAGGGCCTTGGCGGGGCTTCCTCGCACTCCTGCCGGCCTTGCAGGTCCACCGCCGGGCCTTATGATGTCAGGGGGTGTGGCATATGCTAATGAATTATGCTAATGAGTTCCCCTAGCTCTTTTTCTATGAAACGACCCCTGCTAATACTTCCCCCCACACACACCTGCAGTGACCCCTGTTCCGCACCCAGAAGATGACTCTGGGCATGCAAGAACTAAGCACTGATGCGATCCTTCCTGCCCTCCCTCTCATGATCTGCCTAAATTCACAGAATCTGCATTGCTGTCAGATGGCCATCTAGCCTCTGTTTGAAAACCTCCCAAGAAGGAAAGCCCACCACCTCTCGAGGAAGCCTGCTCCACCGACGAACCGCTGTCAGGAAGTTCTTTCTAATGTTTAGCTGAAAACTTGTCTGATTTAATTTCAGCTCGTTGGTTCTGGTCCATTCTTCTGGGGCAATAGAAAATCACTCAGTACCATCCTCTACATGACAGCCCTTCAAGTACTTGAAGATGGTTATCATATCACCTCTCAGTCATCTCCTCTCCAGGCTAAACATACCCAGCTCCTTCAACCTTTCCTCATAGGACATGGAATGCTCCGATATTTGCAAAAACTGTGTGGTAAAAAAATGACTTCTACTATAAAGTTTTGCCCAAATGCCAGTGTCCCGATGTCACTGGCAATGGGACGACATCACTTCTAGTGCCTGCTGGAGGTTATGTCACCAGCGACACTGGCATAGGCCTCTCTTTGTTGCTGGTGAATCCCCCCACCCCCACAGCTGCCAGAGAAAAAATCTACAAGGAAAAGAAGGCCTTGTCTACTCACAAGAAGTTCTTATCATAGAGTTTCCAGTTATTCCTAGAGCTACCTGTTGTCACTTCTGGGTCGCTCTAGGAATCACCAGGAACTGTATGGTAAGAACTTTCTGCAGTTAGACAAGGAACTTATTTTTCTTGTACTTTTTTTCTCTCACTGCTGCTTCCCGTGGCAACAGAACCTGGGGATTGGGGGGGTGTCCCCTGGCCCTACTGGGGGCTTGGCGGCACTACTATGATGTTCTTTCCAAGCATCAGAGCATCTTCATCTGAGCTCAGCCCTTCTTCCTCCTTCCTCTATCTGAGAGAAGTGCTTGGCCCCTCTCCCCAAAAGGGAAGAAAGAGTTGATACTGTGATGATTGATGTCCTTTCCCTCTGTTTGAGTCTTTAATTGCATAGAGGACATAGCGCAGTCTGATCAAGTAGAGCTAGTAGAGTTTTTGAAACATTGTATTGGAGACCCCATCTTGAATGTTGTTTTGTGAGCACCAATTTTAAATGTAACTGTAATTGATTGTTTTATCTGGTTTTTATTGTTATGTGTGGCAGTTGCCTCCTGTTAGCCGCCCTGAGCCCATGAGGAAGGGCGGGATATAAGTCAAATAAATAGATAAATTAAATAGAGAGAAAAACATGTCTCCTTCTTTGGAGGTTTTCAAACAGAGGCTAGATGGCCCTCTGACAGCAATGCTGATTCTGTGAACTCAGGCAGATCACGAGAGGGAGGCTGCAGGAAGGGCTGCCTCAGTGCTCAGTCCTTGCGGCCCTTTCTTTACACGCCCAGGGAAATGCTGCATGGGAGGAAGTCTGGAAGAAGATCTGGAAGAAGACCTTCATTAGGACCTCCCTCTCTCATACAGCTAACGGTATCTCCAGTCCAACTGGAGGAAACAGACCCCAATACTCTGAATTCAAGGGAAGTGGAAATGTAGGGCTTACACTCTCAGAAGATAGGCCTCCTCCGGTCCTCAGAATTAGGATGCTCTCATCTACAGCTCGCAAGGCACAGATGGAATTGGAGGCAGCTTCGATGTTAAGGATGACGCTGGAGGCTGGTAGGGCTTGTTTCTCAGAGAACTGCAGACTGACCTGGAATTGAACAGTGTCATCAGTCACAGGGAGACCATCCTTCACTTTTGAAGGACCACGTATTCCTCACAGTAAAGTATCCACACATGGCGTTTTTCCCCTCTACTACTGCATCAAATGTGCTTGCCGGATGCCTTTCTCCCTCATCCACTTCTCCCTTCAGAAAATGGCAGCCCCTACGGTGTAAATATCACATCTGCACTATACGATCCTACAGGACTACCTTACATTATGGTATCTGCTTAGCTGCTTTCCCCCACAGAACCACCCACGACTGTTGAATAGAAGTAGGGTTTAAATCACAGAAAGGTGGATAGATTAGCTAAAAGGTGTGGCTCCTTTTAGCATCTTAGTTGCGGCCCGCCAGGAACGTTAAACGCCTCCCAAAAAAGTTGTGTCTGTCGAAACGTCCTCAGTGGAAAGCCACCAACCTCACTACAGGCAGAGTGCAGATTAGCTAGTTCAAATCTACATGTGAATGCAATCCTATAGCTTCTAACCACGGTTTTGTTCTACTCTGAGGCCCAGACTAGATATGGTGGCCTGGGTGTGATGAGGATTGGATCCTGATGAGGCCCACAGTGTGACAAACTGAGGCCCTCTGGTTCCTTCCCTTATGCCATATCAAGAGCTGAAACACCCCACAGCTGTTTTTGTTGGAAATGTATGAGTTGCAAGGTCTAATCCAGGCATTATAGGGTTAACTTGCTTACCTTTCTATGCTATTGTTTAGACTGACCTGGAAGGAAACCTGGCAGACAGCCAATGCTAGCAAAGCCTGGAGAAAAGTGGTCTGTTTGTAAACATTGATTGGTTAATCTATTCAGGTGATTTCCTTCCAGGGGTCAAGAAGGAGGAGGATTCTCCATTATTGCAGTGTGTGTTGTGTGACCATGTTTTATAGCAGTAAGATGTGACAATGTAGCTCTGAATAGGTTTGTCATTTTGTAGGTTTCCTGTGTGCCTTTTTACCCTTGGAAATAATGATTTTTACAAAGAAAGAAAGCTCTCCTCTCCAGTGAAGCAAAGATCCATTGCAAACTCTGAGTATTTAAGTCATGCAAGGTCGGCATAAACGACAAGATTGTAATTGAGAAACAGGGCAAAGGGACTGCGGACGAAACAGGGAAAAGCGGGAAGCAGTCCATCGCCGTCAACGACTGCACCTTCCACCAGTGCGTGAGACTCAGCAAGTTCGACTTGAGCGATCACACGTAGGTATTCCGTCGACGGCCCATAGCAAACCATTTGCTAGTAGGCTTTCCTGGGTATTTTTTAACTCCGGATCTTCGGGCAGATGCTATGGGGTTGGCGATGGGTGTGCTATGCTTGCCAGATGTGTCCTTGTGATCGCGCCCGTATACTCCGCCTGACATTCGTGCCTCTCCTGCTGCAAATTCCGCATGTGAACAGGGCCTTTGACTATTTCCCTCAACAGTTTTGACACCCCAAAAAGTTCGGGGGGGGGGGAACATGAATACTGCACTGTGGGCCCAGTCATCAGGACTGAGCTCTTGTGACATTTTCAATTTGGCCCTTCGTCATCTCACATTGCTCTCTGCTTGTTCCTGGTCATCTCTTGCTCTTCTAATCCTTCATTCCTATTTATTTATTTTAAAATATGGGTATGCCTGCTTTTGTCCTGAGCATCTCAGGGCCCAAGATGAGCCAGAACAATGTAAGAAGTATTTTCTTCTTCTTCTTCTTCTTCTTTTTTTAAAAAAAAGCATTTAAAAACAACAGCTATAAAAACATTAAACCCAGCCCAGAGACACCTCGGGCCCACCACCAAGGGGTGTTCTCCCTCGGCCCAGGCTCAGTCTGCCTCCCACAAACTTTCTGGAATCACTCTGTTTTGCAGTCTTACCAGAAAGAGGAGGAGGAGGAGGAAGAAGAGACTGGATTTATACTCCGTCCTTCACTCGGAGTCTCAGAGCGGCTCACAGTCTACTTTCCCTTCCCCTCCCCACAACAGACATCCTGTGAGGCAAGTGGGGCTGAGAGAGCTCTGAAAGAATTGCTCTTGAGTGAACAGCTCTGAGAGAACTGTCCAGGGCTCTTTTTGTAGCAGGAACTCCTTTGCATATTAGGCAACACCCCCCCTAATGCAGCCAATCCTCCAAGAGCTTACAGAGCTCTTCTTACAGGGGCTACTGTAAGCTCTTGAAGGATTGGCTACATTAGGGGTGTGTTGCCTAATGTGCAAAGGAGTTCCTGCTACAAAAAGAGCCCTGGCACCCAAGGTCACCCAACTAGCTGCATGTGGAGGAGTGGGGAATCAAACCCAGTTCTCTAGATTAGAGTCCACTGCTCTTAACCCCTACACCAGACTGGCTCTCCTTGACCTCTTCCAGGAGGTTGTTGCAGAGGGATGGGGCGGCCACTGAAAAGGCTTGAGTCGAATGTACCTTGGACATTCCCCGCGGCTACACTCCCATCATACATCCTCCTTCTTTCCCAGCTGCCTTTGCCTGCCTTTCTCAACTCAGCCATTCAGAGCCAGAGGATTCAGGACCACATCTATAACCTCCACAAAGTCCTTTTAGGCTGCAGTCACACTGGCGGCTTGGCGTGATATCTGATTGCTTAAAGTGTTGCGGGGCATACCAACCAGACAGCATACTCTGCTGCGGGTTACCTGTGTGGCTGCCCCGTGGTCAAGCATCCACAGTAGTGTTGCGCATCAGCCACAGGACACACTGTTCCGGTAGGAGGTGTGTGTTTTTTTTACAAAACAAATCACCATTGTGCAGGTGCATAAGCACATGACTGAACAACCGCTTCCGTTAGCTAGCTCTGCGACCCATGAATGAGACAGAAGTGCCTGTTCACACTTCCTTTCTGGGTTCCTTTCAAGCCGGGAGAGCTGAGACCTAAAAAATGGAGTGGAAGCGCTACCACCCCTTCCTGCCGGACTGCCCCTAGTGCCTGATTATTCTGGTTCTAACATGGAGCAAGACGGGCTGCTAACAACTGGGCCATGGAAGGCAGATGTCATCATGGTTTCGAGCTGTTTAAATCCACACAGGTAACGCTAGCAATGCTCCTTCTAAGCTGTAGAGTCTCGTGAGCAAAAATTCTACTTTGTGAGCAACCGGTATTAAAGTTGTGAGCGAGTGATTTGGCTACTGCATAAATTAGTTAGCTCTGGAGCCATCCTTCCTGAGCCGAGACAAAAAATGTGTGAGCCAGAGGCTAAAAAAACTGTGAGCTAGCTCATACTAAATCAACTTAGAGGGAACACTGAACGCTAGTATGTCGGGACAAACTGCTTGTGTGACTGCAGCCTTAAGGCATTAAATATAAAGGATCATCTTTGATGGTGTTTCTTAGTGTTGCTAACTCCAGCCTGGGAAATTCCTGGAGATTTGGGAGTGGTGGGGACTGAAGAGGGAGGGATCTCAGCGAGTACAATGCTACGGGGGTCCACCCACCAAAGGACCCGTTTTCTCCCGTTTTCTCCAGGGTCATAGATCCAGAGGAGTTAGCTGTGTTAGTCTGTTGCTGCAAAATAGTAAAAAGCTCAGTGGCACCTTGACCACTTATATATCTCTGGCCAGTTTCTTCATAACCTCCATGCATCTGATGAAGAGAACTGTGTTTCTCAAAAGCTCATGCTACAATACAGTGACCGATTTCCCACAAGCAGCCGTGCCAACCACGCTCTTCCCGCAGCATCCCTCAATTTCCTCCACATCTTCGCGATGTCAAAAAACAAGGATTGTGAAGATGTGGGGGAAACCGGGGGATGCTGCAGGTCAAAACGCAGCTGCGCAGCAAGTAGTGGGAAATTGATGGATACAATCGGGGGGCAAAGGGGAGAGCGAGGGCGGCACGGCTGCTTGTAGGAAATCAGTCAGTTCATTCGTCTTAAAGGCGCTACTGAGCTGTTTTCTATTTTTTCCAGAGTAACTGGTCTGAATAATCCGGAAATCAAATGTAATTCCTGGAGATTGCCAGGCCCCACCTGGAAGTTAGCCATTCTATTCCTGATATCTCTTCCAGCTTTCCTGCTTAAAGGACCAGATATTCCTGACAACAACTGACAATAATCGAGAATATATGACTGTTTATTCTTGTGTGCCTTGTCCTTAGAGACCAGTGTTACAACAAAGCACAGAAAAACGAACGGAAACACATCTCACCCCCCCCCCCCGGAATGGCCTTGACAAATTCTCACCTTGTTTCGGAAACAATTCTCAACTTCAAAGGAGATGCTGTCAGCCACCAGCTCACTATCATGCAAGATATAGACCAGCATCCTCGCCCTTGAAGCCAACTTCTCATCAACGTTCAGTGAGACAGAGAAAGTACCAGGTTGTCCAACTGCGGGGGGAAATGTGAAATTACAGTAGGTGCAGGAGACAGGAAGACAGAGAGCAAGAAAACCTGGTAAGCTAGTTGAACCGTCATCCAAGGCAAAACAAACTGGAGAACTCTGACAAGATAGAGGCTTACCAACCTCCAGGTTAGACCTGGAGATCTCCCAGCATTACAACTGATCTCCAGATGACTGATTCCTTTGGAGAAAATGGCTACTTTGGACAGTGAACTGTATGGCAGTATAGCCCGCTGAGGTCCCTCCCCAAACCATACCCTTCCCAAGGCTCCACCCCCAAATCTCTAGGCATTTACCAACCCAGAGTTTGTAACCCCACTCTATTTGTCTCGGCAGTCTTGACGCTTGAGGATACATCTTCCTTGTAGAGAACCAATCAACATGCAGTGCATTCAGTGGATAACTAGAGTGTGAAGGCCCTGAAAAAAATTGGAAGAATTCCGGGGGGGGGC